TAGTTGTCGTGTGTGTGTTTGTCCTTTTGTGTGCACGAGTCTATATGTGTTCTTGCCTATAATTAGCGGCATCAGACACAGGGCATTTAAGCATTGTTTTAGAGCGCCCCCTGAGCAGCTGCCCGTGATGGGAGAGAGACACCGGCAGTGAGTGGTTGGGCAGGCTCCTGATGCTGCTGATGCAACAGACTTAGCGTTCAGACGGGCTAAATGTAGACTACAGTGCATGCCCCTTGTCTAAATTGTTGTTATTCTCAAGAGCGGAGTGGAAAGAGTAAGAATTATAGTTAAACGAGCGGGGCATTGCTTAAGCGTTAAGTGTTGCAGCGCATGTCCAATTATAGAGAGAGGTGGCTCCACCTGCATTCAATGCATGTGCTGCATAATTTCCTGTAAACAACAGAGTACTTTTTAAACATTTGCGTGATGTCTGACACACACATGACACACACATGTTACCATGTACGATATAAATAATTATTAAATGTAACCTTTCTTGAAAGGTGGAGTGATCGCGCGTTTGCATGTGCTGCACGATATGTGGGACCCCGTGGCCTTCGCACATTAAAGAGTCTGTTGCTTCCTTCAAGACGAATCTTTTGCATTATATGAGACAATTGTTTTTACACCTGCTTTAAAATGAGAATAGGTTTTCCCCTTTTTTCTGGCAACAAACAGGTGTTGAGATTTTTTTTATTTAAAGCTTTCGTGACTGCAGGGATTCATATTATTGGTTCTTTCGGTAAAGTCACGTCGAAGGGAAACAATAAAGTGATAAAAAATATATAAAACAATAAAATTATCACGACGTTTCGACTGCAACACAAGAAAATTTGAAAAAAGCGCCACTTTTTCAAACTTTCTTGCTGTGGTTTTCACACCTGTTGATGATTGCTTGTGTTGCAGTCGAAACGTCGTGAGAATTTTATTTTTTATATTTTTTTGTTTCCCTTCTACGTGACTTTACCGAAAGAACCAAGAATATAGGTGTTGAGAAGTTAAAACACCAAACTGAAACCTTTTACAAGGAATCATGTCTGCATTAAAAAGGGGAAAACCAATTCTCATATTTTGGTACTGGCAAAGGAGGTCCCATGACCTGCTTTAAAAGGTAAGGTTACAAGTTTGTAACATGCACATTGCGTAGATCCAAAATATTGTGATCTGTTCACATTCATATTTAGATTTTTTTAAATTGTATTTATAATCATTGCATATGCACCATGAGATGTGCATTAAACCATCACTGAACTCCGGTCATCCTCGCAGCGACTTTTGGCTAGTCATTGAACAAAGACGGTCACCGCATCGTGCGCTTTCAGATGTGCTTTTGCGGCTGTCTGAAACGCTTTTCGTTCTGATATTAGGAAGCCACTGAAGCTATGCACTTTTAAATCTAAATTGAAAACTAATTTCTTTAAAACTGCTTTTTGTGTTGAGTTTGTTGTCCTTCCCCCGCACCTCCGATTAGCATGGCTGGCTACGTACGGTACAAAAGAGGTTCAACATACCTACAGAGGCACGGGAAATCAAATGAGCTGGAAAGGCAAATGGAACCAGCGCCAACAATTGCCCATGCTCTGTGGCCCTTAATTAGGATATTTTTCCAACTCCAAACTGGAACACCCAGAGAAAACGCACGCATACGAGGGAGAAACGCTACCCCACACAGATGGAACAGATGGCGTTCCCATTTTCTGCACCTCCTCATGGCGAGCCAGGGTATGGCACCTTGACAGCCATGTGAAGAGAGTTTCGCATTATTTATGTGATCCACCAACCCTGGCTTCCACAGTGCTGGATTACAGGCGTGCATAACCACCTAATGATTAATATTCTATTATAGATGGTTTTACTTTCGTTTTGTCGTTTTATATTTTTCTCCTTCACATTCCTCATCATCAGCCATCGTCAACAATCCACTACTGAATGAGGGCCTTCCCCAAGCCACTTTTGCTTGTGATGGTGAAGGAGTAGGGGGTGCTAAGAATCACTGGGTGTAAAACATAACTCCTTCTTGATCTGTTCACATTATTAATATGAAATGTATGATCATTCACTATGCACCATGAGATGTGGATTAAATTTGGAGCATAAAACAAGAATGATATTTTTCAAAGTGTTAACTATTTCGTGTTTTCAAACACAGTTTGGTAAACATAGAAGGAACCATTATAAGTGTTAAAAACTGGATTAATTTCAATGCATAAAAGTACCTACTGGAGTAAAAAATATACATACATTCTTAACAGTTATGAACAGTGTCACAATTGGGGAGACTTTTTACCTTTTACAACAGCAAGGTTATGTGCAACATCAAGTGACATTGGATGTTTGCAGCGTCTTATCAAATCATGAATCTCGAAGGTGGCAGTATCACTCTGTGTTGAGAATGCTGTCAGCTCTAGATTTGAAGCTTTCGTGACTGCAAGGATCCATACTCTTTGGTTCTATTCGGTAAAGTCACGTGACTTTACCGAATAGAACAAAAGAGAATGATGTCAGCTACTTGGGAGAGGAATTCGTTTTGACAGAACACATTTTAACTCCGCGTTTACCTATGACTTGTGACCGAATTAATTAAAAAAGCAAGGACGGCCGCATCACTCCTATGCAAAACTGGGTTTTAACTGCCGTTTAACCATTGGACGGATCTCAGTGAGGAATGCAGTCCATTCCACTTGAACCGGTCGGACAAGTAAATGTGGAGTTACTTTTTTACCCGTTGCCTGAAAGGTTGTAAAGTAAAAAATAATTCCTAAATGAAAGAGCGGTGCATTCTGAATGTAATGCTGCGCACGTGTCGCTGCATCATGGCTTTTGAAGTATCTGTAAGTGAGACTTTCTCTGCTGTACAGCAGGTGGCCTGGTGGGCTGCATTTTTTTTCTTCTCACGTTTGGTTTGCAGTAACATTCCTAAGATAAACCGCGTCGATAAGAAATGCAGTGATTTTTTTTATCCCACAAACTACGTACGGCCAACAGAGTGATTGTGCATGCCCTATTGTACAAGCTGTCCTAAATCACCTCCACTGGCCACTCTTCACGAAACAGAATTAGCACGATCCATGACGGGCCCTAGCGCCACTCAAAACGAGTCATGGGACCGCGACCACTTTCCGTGATACATTTAAAAAGAAAAAAAAAACGTCTCTGGAGCTGCCACTGACTAGAGCTGCAACTAGCCTGTGTATTTATAGGTCTCTACCACGTACAGTGGGGATGCAACCGTGGTGCACTGTGGTTTGCACACTGGACTTGACCATCCAGAGGTCGCCGGTTCGATTTCCCGTAGGGATGAAACGATGGTGCAAGTTTTCTAAATACCGCCCGCCTTGTCCACCCAGCGGTACAGGTTGTGTGCGGTGGGGTAAAGTGTGGGTACAAATTATTATCGAGGCTTCACCCCCCCTCGCCCCCCCCACCCCCCCGTTTCCAATGCGTACGTACATTGTCAGTAGACCCCCCCCCCCCCATACGCAAAGCGTACGCATTTGGGTTGACCTCCCCCCTCCATGCGTACGTACTAAATGGATGGCCCCCCATGACCAATACATTTCCAGGGCTGCACGGTTAACTTTGTTGTTGTTGTTTGACCTCACACGACACAGAGATGTCCGCCACTGAGCTGCCCTCGCCTCATTGCATCGGTGGAGCTCGGCAGCCTGGCTCCCTCCGCACGGACAAGGAGCGTTTTGTTCACTGCTGTTTGGGAGGCTCATGCGAGCGGGTCCCGTGGCGTGTGGCGCCTATGTTTTGAGTGGGTGAGTGGAGCTCTGTGGAGGGCAAGATACGGGGGCGAAGGGTGCAGGAGGCCGGAGGGGTTTGAGAGGAATGAGGCGGAGAGGGATATGGGGGGTTGGGGGGGGTGGCAGTCGGGAGGTGGAGAGGTTGAGAGAAGGAGGCGAGAGAGGCGGAGCGCAAACCTCTTGGAGGGGGAGGCAGAGGTTGGTGTGGGCGGTGGGGGCCCCATGGAAGAGAACCGAACTCGTCAAAGCACGACCCTTGACAGCGCCACTCGCTGACTTGCCGCAGCATGCAACACGCGGCAAGTACACACCACAGCGGTAGACACTGTTATCTGTACCGCCTTACATCACTGTTCCTAAGTACTTCATGGCGGTGATTTTGGCTTGGCTCCGAGCACGCAATGCACACGTATCCCTGGACAGCCTTTTGCCAATCCACTGCTGGATGAGGGCTTACCCCACGCATTGTGTAAACGGCTCAATTTCCTCCCTGTGCAATCTCGTTTAGTTCTAATTACCAAGGCACAGGAAGGACACTGAGTAATTGGTTATCAGCTGTGACAGTTCCAGAAGCAGCTCCCAGTGTGTGGAGCGAAACGTCGGACATCGTGCGCAAACAGCACGTAGCACGACCCATAAATTGCATCGCAAATTTGTATATCGGTCACAACTGCAAAAAAAAACCCACGCAGTAGTAAATTGAGCACTGCATACATTTGTCCTGGATTGCATAAGGTGTAATGAAGTGCAGATACCAACTGTGTAGCGGTTAGCGCGCTGCGCTACGAACCTGGCGACCCAGGTTAGATTCCCGCTCACGGCCAACACCAGTGACGATTATCTGAACCGGTCCTGGGCCTCTCCTAGGTCGACTCAGCCTCAAACGAGTACCTGGTGCGGTGTGTAAACATTGCCACTAGGGAGACAAAGGCGGTCGGGCGTGGTGCTGGCCACCCACCCCCTCGTGTACCGTTCCGGCCTTCATAGGTGCTCGCTAACAGCACTTGCCCCGACAGTCTGTTAAGGCTATACGGGGGATCTTTGTTATCTTTGTTGTGTACGTGCCTGGGCACGTTTACCACACGGGCCCTCTATTACCCCATAATTGTGTTGCTCCGACTTGCTCGGCTCCGCCAGGCGGCAGGGGAAAAAAAAACATACGATGCATTGCAGTGAGTGTTGCTGTTTCCTGGCTTCATTCAACAGGGAGATACAAAGAGGGGTGGGGGGGGGGCACGATGTGAGCTGGGGTGTGGCGCCATGCTTTCTCCAGTCTCTTCTAAATCAACCCTGTTTTAGGACACCTTTACTTTTTGTAACGTGGTCTGGCTTCAACGCAAACTATTGGAAAGGTAAAGGTAATGTAGTGTTTAACTTTTAGATCATGGTTGTTGAGTTCATGAGAACAGGACCCAGAGACCAACTATGTCAAGCAGGCCAGAAACAAACGCTGTATTGAAGGTGTGATAGATAAGCGTCAATACGCGTCTTGAATTGAGAAAGGTCAATACAGTATGTCACATGTGATAAAATAAACTCGCAAATAGGTGACCGGATGGTTCAAGGGTCAGGATAAATCCCTGTAAGCTCAACATCAAAAACTCATATAAGTAACTGGTATGGGCAAACCATCTCAATGCTGAAAATGTAGCTGAAAAATTACTAAATTGGGATTTGCATGCATCGGCAGCAACATCGCCTCCTACTGAGAAAACCTGACAAGGACCGTCCTGCGGAAAAAGAGCATTGAGACTCAGGCAGTGTTGCTTAAACAGGCATACTTAAGCATAATAAAAGTACTGAACCAGAACAGCCGAGTGACTGAAACAGGATGAAGCTGTGATGGTTTGGCCGTGACACTGAAAAGATCGGTGAGAATTACCCGCATCATCCTGCAGGGCTCAGTAAATAAAATGACTAAAACTTTTTTTGTATTTTACCAGATAAGGCCCACTGAGCTATGTAGCTCTTTTTCACAAGCGACTTGGCCACAAATGGTAGTTTAACAAAGTGGCGTATGTGAAAATGTATCGCAGCCACATACTATAAACGCGTGATGTTTATTCTAAATGTGGAGGGTAAAAACCGGAGGACCCAGAGAAAAAAGCCACACGACCACGGAGAGAGAGGGAGAACATGCAAACTTCAAATATACAGCCATCAGGGTTGGGATCGAACCCACAATCTCGCGTGTACCAGACAGGGTAGTTACCAATGCGTCAATGTGGCACCCCTTAAAGTAGAAGAGAAGAGGAAGACAGGTCGGCTGGGTGACGAGGAACGTAGCGACACAGACAGGGAGATCAGCGGCAGACGTTGTGCAGATTGCAAAAGGTCACAAGAGGTGGAGTTGCCAAAGCATCATGGGTGCCCCCATGCCCCTCGCGGTTAAACGACTGACGGTGACGATGAGGACGGTGACAGCTGATATGTTGGGTTTGAAATGGTTGATTCAGCCGCCGTGATTAAACCGGGTTCTCAAGTGTAGCCAGCTGAGAAATGTTGCTTGGTATTAAAGGGCGTGCCCCCTAGTGTGGATAAATAGGGCGATCAAAGTCACTTCAGCTGTACTTCTGCGATGTCATCTTCCAAGGCCGCTCTCTGACACCGGGGTGATGTACAAGAATTCGAGAGCACAAATGGATAATTTGGGGGAAAACACGTTTTAAAAATATATATTTAAAGAACCATCTGTATTTATATAAACATCCAACTACAACGTCACTTCAGACCTCGTTTTCTGGTGAGTTGGTGAGTTGCCAGAGGGCTATATTTATTGACGGGACTAACTTGTGTGAAAAACTATAAATTGATTGCTCTCTTGAATGTCCAATGGCCAGAATGTGTTGGTTTGTTTTTATTACTATGTAAATTCTAGTTCTCTGGAACGTCCGGTAAGCTAATTAAAAAAACAAAAAAACGATATCATGTGTTTCTTTGAATCAGCATTGAATGGACTGGGCCAGTGTTTGCACAGCTGTTTAATACATGCTGGGCGTACCTATACATTAAACCCCCTCCCTGTCTCTTTCTCCCTGGGGCCGCTCCGCCCATTCAATAGAATACTCCCCATATGCAGCGCTGGGCTCTCCATCCAATCTCAGTGCCTGGTGGCTTGTGATCTCACTGCGGTGGGTGGAGAGCACGCGTATGATTGGTGTATGCCATGTTTTCCCATGTGTGTTCGAGTTGCCTGTCAGTGTGCGCTGACTCGGTCTCCTAAGCGCCGCATGTGAGTGGGGGGAGTCCAAGCCTGGAGTTTGTAGCCAACACGAGTGTGAGTATTTGTGTGTACGTGAGTACGCGCGTGTGTGTGTGTGAGCGTCTCCGAACAAAGGAATGAAGCGTTGTTCCTTCTGAGTTGGTGATGGTGGGGTGGGTGTTGTTTTCACGCTGCTGTAGTGAGTGCTGCCCTGCTCGCTGCTTGCCAGCTGGGTCATTCGTTGCAGTGGGTTGGACAATGCCGCGTGAGATGGTGTGTGGCTGGGTGACTGTAGCCTTTCAATACTCCACCGCAGCAACGTTCATTCATTAGAATGTGTTGTGTATATTTTGTACAAGTTTTGCCGAACGCTTGCAGTGTGCCACTCCTGCTGATAAAATGTACACCCGGTGAATGAGTCAATTATGCGTTGATGTCATTCGAGTCCTGGTGATTCACATTCATTTTGTGGTTAGTAGCTGATTCACGGTGGGACGGCAAAAGAGGATTTTTTTTTAGTTTTAAATTGTCTCATTTCAATAGCCGAGGCATCATTGCACGTACCACGCGGGTTGTAACTGTGCCATGTTTGTGGTCTTGATGTGCTTTAGAAAATGTGAGAAATAGATAACAGTTTGGAGACTCCACAATTCTGCCGGCTAATAGTCTGAGGAACCTGTCAAAAAACCTTTACCCATCAGCGTTATTACACGTGGCAAGGTGACAGCAGCATTATGCATGCATGCGTTGCATGTTTGTTGCTCTTCCAAGCTCATTCTTGTGTTGACTGCTGCATTTCGTACAGTGCCCGCGCGTGTTTGATATGATTCGCTTTCCGTTTTTTTTCGGTTGTTTGTTTAACTCGCTTTGCTCATTTGGTGGCGAGTCGCATTAGGAGGCAGTCCAGCCGGTGTGGCACGTGATCACCGCCCAGCCGAACCGCAGTTAATCCCCAAACGCGTCCTCTTCTCAACTTGCTCCGGCTGGGCTGTTCCGACGCGCAGCGGTGTCTGCCCGCCGTGCTCGCCCTCTGGCTCTCTCACGATGGAAGTTGCTCCCTCGGTTTGGGGTTTAGCCGTGGAACGCTGTGGTGGTGGTGGGGGGGAGGCAGGGCGACTTGCGCCCGAAGCAACACGAGCCGCCACGTGCTTGCGCTCCCCGCTAAACTCCGCGCTGCGACTTGCCGGAGTGCCGCCGCCGCCGCCGCTTGCAGCACCCAAACACGCGGTCGCGACCGCCGATGGGAGAGGCGGCGGGGTGCAGAAGCCGCCCCAACACGGGGGCGATGCTTGGGGCGGGCTGGTGTTGGCACGTTTTTTGCGGTTACCGTCGTTGGGATTTATACGGACCAACTTCGAGCCCGATAGTTTGTAACGCGTGAGCTTGCGCGGCCAATAGTATTCGTAGTGGAGGGTTTTTTTGTTTGTTTGTTTGTTGGGTTCGATGGCGTGAATATAAATGTGTCGTTCAACCCGCCGCCGCCACCACCACCCGACGTGGCCAATTAGTGAGGTTTGCCACGACAACAACACGTGCCGATCGGTTAACTAGTACAGCACATCGGAGAGTAAATCCACGACACGACGTTTCGCCAGCAAATTACAACTAGCATCATCAGGCGACAGCCATAGGGGCCGTCCATAAATGACGTCACGCAGACATTTGTGACGATGTGTGACGAGGGGGGGGGGGGGGGGTGAGAAATGTGACGTCACATCAAAATGCGCAACTTTAAATAAATATAGACAACACGTTCTACTTGATTAAATAGACTTTTTAATAAATGTTTTCTCTTACAACATCAGAGTGCAGCGCCACATTAAATACGCACTACGATGACAATAGTTTAAAGCGATTTGAAGCATGTTTTAATGGGGGGGGGCAGAGCTTTGTGACGTCATATTTGAGGGGGGTCTGACTTTGTGACGCCGTGTGACGAGAGGGGGGGGAGGTCAAAAATCGTCCAAAATCGCGTGACGTCATTTATGGACGGCCCCATATTTGATGCGTTTAACGACGCATTAATATTTACGCGATTTGAGCCCAACGTTTGCTCCCCCCCCCCCTCCGCCCCCCAACGTTCAATGTTTCTTTGGGCAAGTTGCTGAACCTTTAAAGACACGGCGGCTCTTTGTGCCTTGCGATGTAGCTTCTCCGTTTGTTTTACGTGTAACTGTCTAACGCCAACAACGTGAACAGCTGTTGATTAACAACAACAACAAAAAAGGTGCGCAAAACGTTCACAAATGACGTGTTTACCATTTAGGGATATGTGGACGTTGGTAGGGAAGGGTGTCTTAAACTTTTTCAAACTATACCCGACCCAAAAAGGTATCCTTTGATAATTCTTAAGTTTATAGCTTTCACACAGACTCTGCCTTTAAATTCTGCTGTGAAGGCGTCCGCCGTTTATGGGCTCGTATAAATGTCAAACTGCAAGTGTCAAACTAACCGAGAGCGACAGGAAACACGGTCGAGAGTGGATCTGGATGTCCCACCCCCCACCCACCCCCGCCATGTGCCAGTGGGCGTCAAAAGATCACCACGACAGCGTTCGCAAGAGTGAGCAAATGTCAGTCGGCTCCCTCGCCGAATTAGCCCAGCCACTCCCGTCGCACGCTCGTCATCCTCGTTGCTACTTGCGTCGGATTTCCTTGACGGACGATCGACGCTGGCCACGTTACCCCACACCCCACCACCGCTGCCGCCTCCTCCTCCTCTTGCCTTGTGTGCCAAAGAGGGCCCTGAATGGACAAACGCCTGACTCTGCTGTCATCCTCACAAAGCGGAGGGGGAGCTGTCTTGGGGGGTGGGAGGGAGGGTGGCGAGCAAGAAGAGGCCGATGAATGCGTCGAGGGCAGCTTCGCAACGTCGTTGCATTACGAGCAAGAATAACACCGCTCTGGACAATGACGTGGCGAGAACAATTCTCATTCTACGTGACTTTACCGAAAGAACCAAAGAAGATGAATTCGGCAAGCGTTTGCGCGCCCGTCAAGGTTACGATGCGAGATATTATTCGTGCGCGGCCGTGATCTAAATGCTAGGATTAATTACAGACGATTGGCAAAGTCGACGATTAAGGTCGAGTGGATTTGGAGAAATTATCATGTTTAATCCCGGAGAATTATTTTAGATTTGTTTTTGAGCGCACGTGGAGGGGTGGGCGAAATTACAACAAAATATAATATCCCCCATCTGTCACGAAGCATCATTACCCGAAAAGACACCGGCTCAGACGTGGCGTAATAACTTCTAAACAAATCTATATCCATTACAGCATTACCCACAAATCCCTGCTGCTTAGGGCTGTATACCTAATGGATTCTTTAAAAGGAGTTCGTCCATTATCGGCTGCCTCTTTGGCAAGTCACCTCTCCTCCCCAGTGCCCAAATGTAATGCTGCTCTGCTTGTGTTTACGTGTTTGTTTACCGACGATTATCTGACCCGGTCCTGGGTCTCCCCTAGGTCGACTCGGCCTCAAATTAGTGCCTCGTCTGGTGTGTAAATATCGCCACTAGTGGAGAAAAAGGCGGCGGGACGTGGTGCTGGCTAACCCCACCACCTCGTGGTGCCGTACCAGGCTTCCAAGGTGCACTTGCCCCAAAAGCCTGTTCAGACTATATGGGGGATCTTTGCCTTTTTTGTATTCTCGTGTGATGGTATTTTTATGATAGAACTGTGTGTTACAATGTGATGGCACTGGACTGTACTAGGTAACAACAATATGGCATTTAGCACTGATACTGTGGTATCGTTATAGTGTAGTATTGCATGTTCCAACGTGTTAATTGGTGTTTAAAAAAAGCACTGGCTACCACCCTACGGGAACATTTTTTCTCAAAGTCGATATAGAGGGCTTTTAGGTTTTATTGCCATCTTAAAAAAAAAATCGAAGTCTTGAAGGCCATTATTTCTTAACGCACCTTCAAAGCATTTCACCAGGGGCGTCCTCCACACTCTGCACGTGAACTAACGAAGGCAAAGGAAACTTAAACGATGACTTACAAATTGCCTTGGACACAACAGACACGTGTCGCTCTCTCAATTTCCCGCAACAACAAAAAAAAAGTTTTATCTGTGTAATTGATTGCAGGGGCTTTGTGCGTCATCATCGTTCTTGCTCCGGCGGTTGCACTCCACGCTTGATGTACAGTATTTATATCTCTCGGAGTGTTTGCCTTGCAGGTGTTGCTCAGTAGTTGTAATAAGGAAATAATTATCGTTTGGGAGTTTCCCAAGCAGAAACGAATCTTTCGTCAAGTTAAACTCAACGACGCATATTTTTTTTGTCTTGAACCAGGTAAGGCCCACTGAGCTATATATAGCTCTTTGTCAGCTCGACGAAGTGGCCTATGTGGAAGTTTGTAGCAGCCAAATACGCGAAGAGCATTTTTTATAAATGTGGAGGGGAAAACCACGGGGTCAACATGCAAACAGAACACGCATACAGACGTCAAGGTCGGGTTCGAACCCACAAACTCCTGTCTACCAGGCGAGGTAGTTAACATCTCTCCACCGTGGCCACCCGAGTTTTAAACAAGACACAAAAAAACGTTTAAAAAGCAACACGGCTCTCTTTTTTCGAGTGTATGCAAAAAGAAACCCATCAGCATTTTCCGTAAGAAGTGCATTGTGTTCCTCTTGTCTTAGATGACAGCTAATTAATAGAACAAAATAAATGGGAGCACACGTGACCAACTGACAGCAGCATTTTAGTGACGGTAAAATTCTAGTGCTGCTGTCATGGTTACATCTGCTCCAATTAATTAATTTAGATCTCAAACAAGAGGGCCATTATGCACTTCTTCAGAAACTGCGGTTGGGATTTTTTTGCATATGCACAAAAGGCTGTGTTGCTTTTTCACACATTTGTGTGCCTTGTCTGAGAAGTTTGGTTTACCAGCCTCCACACTTATTCGGTTATCATGGGATTTTCGAATAATTTACAGATTTGAATCTTTGCCTGGTTGTGATAAAATTATATTGACATTTCCGAGTTGAGCCAGGTATATAGTGCATCTATGATCCGCGTGTGTGTGTGTTGTGCCTGTACGTCTGCCTTGTTTTGTCTGGGTGCATAGATTTTATCCACCCTATTTTGAGAGTAGTTTCTTTGTTCAAAATGTAAACAAACAAAAAAAGTCAAAACACTTTCCTACTTACGCGAGTATGGGGTCGAACTCATCTCTGTTAGCAAACGGAGCCAGTGATGGAAATTCTACATTCCCATGGCAGTGGTGTAGTCTGTCCATTAGACAACTGTTGTTTCTTACCACAAAGTGGTTCTAATTTTATTATCGCTGGATGGATGATATGCTTAATTGATACCCCATGTGGGATTTGAATTCACAGCCATCCGTTTGTGAAATGAGCACTCGAAGCACAGCGCTATAATTAGGAATTTAGGCCTGTGTGCCTTTTTATGTTCCATGACAATAGGTGCAACGATACGTATGATAGTCTTATGATGATGGTAATCATTGCAAAATGCTGCTGCTAATGACGATGATGATTAAATAACACCCTTATTTTAACGATGACAATCTTGAAATGATGATGGTGACCGTTCAGCAAATATTATTTTTTTATTTACCCGTTAATGACGATGATAGCCTTCAGTATATGATAATTATTTGTCCATTTTCTGCTTCAGTGAACTTGTGTTAATTACAGGTAAAAGGCCAGTCAGCCAAAACAATGAGAGTGGCTTTATAAAAAACAATTATTATTCAATTGTTATGCTGATTATGTTGATTATGAACGTCTTCAGATGATGGTGGTGATATAATTAGCCTTACAAAGATGACAATACTCTACAGACGACAATGATGTTTATGATGATCAAACATCCTGATTCTTATGATCAAATAGCCTTCTTTATGTGGAGAGACGGTTATGTGAAGGAGACTGTCTGTTTATTGAAATATATATTCTCCACAACGATGCAAATGATTATTGTGAGTTGTACATCTCGATATTCTTCAGACCATGACGGTGACAACAACGATGGCGCTGGTGTCCCATCAGTCTTGTCATCGTGATAACCGCGGCAATGGCGAGATGTTAACTCCCTCGCCTGGTATACAGGAGCTCGTGGATTCGTTCCCGACCCTGACGCCTGCTGTATATTTGAAGTTTGCATGTTCTCCCCAAGGTCGTGTGGATATTTCTCCAGGTCCTCCGGTTTTTCCCTCCACATTTAGAAATGTGTTTACAGTATTTGGCTGCAAAACAAATTCTACATTTTAAGCCACTTCACAGAGCTAACATTTGTGGCCAGGCCGCTTCTGAACAAGCGCTATTATAGCTCGGTGGTCCTTACCTGGTAAAACAAAAATAGTTTACGAAAAAAACAGTTGAATAGACGGCGACGGTTGCTTTCGGTGCGGTAACGGGAAATCGACGCCGGTCGAATCATCTTTCTCTCTCTCTCTGCCTCTCTGCAGGAGATCTGCGAGGAGATCTGGGAGCACGTGGAGGTGATCCACGCGCTCCAGGAGGCCGAGTTCCCGCTGCGGCTGCTCGCCGTCTCCGTGCAGGTGCTGCTCGACATCCAGGCCGTGCACCTACTGTGGCACCGGCTTCGTGTCTCCACGCTGCTGCTGCGCGAGCGTGTGCTGCGCGGCCTGCAGCTCCGCGCCACCGCCGCGCACGCCCCCACCGTCACGGCCGCCGCCGACATGCGCGGCGACGGCGCCCACGAGCAGGAGCAGGAGGAGGAGCGGCGGGAGGAGGAGGACGAAGTGCACCGGGTGAGTGCCGGGACGTTGGCCGTAGCGATCAAGTGAAGGTTAAAGGTGCAAAGCCCCTCTAAGAGAGTGTTTGACCTCTTCAGCCATGCTGGCTGATCATATAAAAGAGGTGTGAGTTACCCACATTTTACCCCACCACTCGCGACCTGCCGATCGACTATGGTTTGCCCGTAGAAAAAACTTTCCCAGGAGATTAAACCGGCAACCTCTCGATTGCAAGTCCACTGTGCTTACCTTTACATGAAGGCTGCATCATAAGTTTACCATATTTCTGGGAGGCTCATCTGGGATTGTCCCCGCTTATTCCTCTACTAACCTCGACTAACAACTCAGCTAGCCCTACTCTTTTCCAGTGTCATGAGCCATGCATGAAGCCGGAACATTTTAAACGGGGACAAAAATTAAATTTTCACTATGGTTTTGGATACTGGGACAAGCCTTTCTGAAACCAGAGCCGGTCATTTAGCAGCCTTAACCCTCCACATTTAGAATCAGCATCACGCGTTTAGAGTATTTGCAAGCTATACATTTCTACGTGATACACCACTTCGTTGAGCTATCATTTGTGGCCAGGTCGCTTGTGAAAAAAAAAATGTAATTGCTCAGTGGGGCCTTACCTGGTCAAATAAAAATAGTTTAGTTGAGGTCAGGGCTGGCGGGAGGAAGGGGCCTCCTTAATGCCAAGCACCAGGGCCCTTCCCGCCTTGCGCTACGCCCCGTGTGTGGCAAGTCGTTTGGTCGCTGCAATAACAGAGGGGGGCCCTGTTTGACTAGACTCCCTAGCGGACACCTGCAACTCCTTCATTGATACGACGTGTTCGGGGGGGGACAGGGTGGGTGTGAGGTGATTGTCTACGAGGGAGGGAGCGGGCGGGCGGGCGGGCGGGCGGGCGAGCGGGCGAGCGGGCGAGCGGGCGAGCGGGCGAGCGGGCGAGCGAGCAAGCGCTTAATGCCGGCCGTGTCCTATGAGTTGTGCTAAGAGAGCCCCAACCCTCTGCCTCTCAAAGTGCTCGAGAGCCATTTGACTATTCAGGGGAAGAAAAGTTTACGGGGAACGGTTAGGGCTCCGATTGTCCGGCCGCTTTTAAAACGTATCGCGGCGCGCGATAATTGAGACGTGACGGTATTTAGTTATGCTCCCAGCGTGCTGTGCGTCTGTCAGCTGCATTTAGAAATGAGTCTAATTGGAGCGTCTGGCGCTGTCTGCGCGCTAAGTGATGGCGCAACCCCTGGAATGAAAAGCCATTGTTTAAACTTGTTTTTGTTGTTGTTTTACTCTCGTGCTTGCGTCTGGCTGTTGTGACTTGCAGCAGGGTGCCTGTCTCGCAAGAGCAAGGTCAGAATCTCAAATCCCAAGCGGGAGTCCAATCTGGCTCGCAAAAGCCATATGCTCATGAATGGAATTGGCCAAGTGTTTTCAGTGTGTAACCCTCCTCACTAAAGCGTCTTGAGAGGCTTTCCTGAGTGAGTAAATTACATCTCATCACAGTCAATAAACTAATCACCACTGGTGCCAGGTCCGAATCAGAGTCTGAGGTGGAAGTCATCCCTGTTAGCAGCCCTCAGCCAGCAGTGAAGATTCCACATTCCTACGGCAGTGTTCAGTCTGTCCATCCATGAGACAGTCACTTTTGTCTTCCCATAATGTGGTCCTGTTATCAACCATGGAGGGGTGCTATGCTGTATTGATTCCCCCCCCACCTGCCCAACTGGGATTTGAACTCACAGCGGTCCATTTGTGAGCTGAGCACTCTAACCCCCGGCGAGATAATTTGTAAATACAGACCCAGCACCGCCTCGTTTTAAACTGCTGTCTGTCTTTCGCAGAACTGCATGGGCATCGTCATGGACGACGAGGAGGAGGAAGAGGAGGAGGAAGAGGAGGAGCAGAGCGAGACGCAGCTGCTGATTCGCCGCCCAGCCGACTACTTCTCGCTGGACTGCGGTATCACGGCCTCCGAGCTCTCGGCATACAGTCCCCGGGAGGATGATCCGCCCTCCCCGCCGTCACTGGCGCTGCCGTTGGGCACGGGCGGAGCCGGGAGCGCCACCCCAACGCGGCCGACGGACGCCGCCCCGGAGGGACGGTCGCGTCCCCTTGATGTGGCGACCCCTCCTCTGTTCGATGAGGCGAAAGACGCCGGCGCCGGTTCGGAGCAAGTCAGGGACTCGGACAGCGACTCTGATTCGTTGCCGCCGAGAAATACACGGGGCAGCGTCTGTGCTGGGATGAATGCGGCTGATGCTTCCTACCTTAAGATGTCATTTTTTGGGTCGGTTAGCGGTGTCCAACAATCATTCGTGGATGTGTGTGGAAATGCGAGCATGGGTGCCGTTGGCGGAGACGAGAGTCGCAGCGAAAGCGATATTTCCTTGGATGAAGATGAAGACGGATCACATGATGCGACATATCAAGGGGCTGGTGTGGAAGCATCGGGGGAAATCGGTTATAGCGTTGCTTCAGGCAGAGCGCCGAGCGGAGGAAGCGTGGGCATGACAAACAAGCAGTGGAACGACACTCGGGACAGCATCACCACATTCAACACGGCGCTAAATGCTGCCTCCTCCGTGGCTTTTCTTGGACGCCCGACGCAGATACATTTGAACCTGAGAAATGTAAACGCTGGCGAAGTGGACAATCGCGCGGACAGGTCGGTGTATGTCAATGCGACGGAAGGATCGTCCAACCCGGGCACGAATCGGCGTCTGAGAGACGATTCCGCCGCTGCCCAGGGCCGAGCTTGCGAGTATTTCCAGGCCTCCTCACGCCCCAAGGCAGAAGATGACGACGACGAGGACGTCGCTCGCGGGAGGAGCGGACGCCCATCTCGGCGCGGACCGAGCGACGACGGGCGCGCGGAGAGAGTGAGCAACCGCCGGCACTTCAACCCGCAGAGCCCTCTATGCTCGTCGGCACCCGTGGCCTCCGAGTCTCAGTACTGCGTCGTTGGGAACGCCGCGCAGGCACCGGATGCTCTGAGCCGAAGGGACGACGCCTACCTGGCCCTCGCCAGCAGCGACGCCGCGCCTACGGCCGACCCTCTGCCCATCGACCTCGGCTTGAACAACGCGGCCGCGACGGCCAGAGACGACGTCTCCCCGAGCGGCGAGTCCCAGGAGTACATGGCCTTGCCGTCGCTGCTGCTGCTGCGGGAGCCCGGCTTCCTCTCGCTGAAGCTCGACGGCTTGGACACGCTGCTGCGCCGCGGCGCGACGGGCGCCAGGGTGTGCGACGTCAGCGACTGGGAGCTGTCGGGCACGTCCTCTGGCGTCGCGTCCCCGCACGCCTTCAGCCCCGTGAGCGAGCCCTGGGTTGGCGACAGCAGCGAGGGCTCCGGGAGGAGCGGCGGCGGCACCTCGCCGCCCGCGTTCCCCGCGGGATCGCCCGGCTCCAGCGGCGCCTTCCTGTCGGACGCGGGCTCGCGCGACTCCGGGGCGAGCTCGCCCGACGGGTGGCAGGCTGAAACCGGCTGGTGGGAGATGGACGACGCGAGGGCGGACGAGGGGAAGGGCGGCGGCGGCGGCCGCTCCCTCGACAAGACCTTTGGCTCGGCCACGTCCGACGGGTCGTTCCTTTTCGAGTCGGATTTTTCGGACTCGCTGGGCCCCGCGGAGGGGGAGGAGGACACGGCGTGCGGGCCCCGCTGGGTGGCGGAGAGCGACCTGGACGATGCCGCGTGCTGCAGCATCCCCTCGCTGAGGCAGGAGCTCCACAGGTGCCTCAAGTGTCGAGGAGACGGCAGGCAGATGGAAGAGAAGATTGAGGTGGCTGTTATCTTTTTGCTTCCCTTTGTAAATGCCGCATGCGGCATTTTGCCGTGGCATCTTGTGCTTTATCTTACACTGTAGTAGGTGTTTGTGGTGCCCTACAGATCGTTTTGACAGGTAGCTATTAGTTTTAAATGACTATTGGTTTTATTATGAGGGTTTTATTTAACCACGCTGCAGTAGAAGCGTGCCATAAATTGTGTTGCTTTTTAGATATTACTGCTCAGTTTTTCTTCGTAAGAGGGCTTTTAGACCACTGACGTTTTGATGACCGCTATTCCTTCCTTGGACCGATGACAATTAGAATATGTAACCATCACGAAGACAGTTCTCATTGTGTATCTTGACTTAACATAGCAAAACTTAACCGTTGTGCAGTATTTGAGAATGTGACTTCTCCCAGAGGTGCGCTTTATGCATGTTGCGCTCAAGCAAGCACGCACAAGTCCCGGGCGGAAATGAAGCCACTTCAGCACATGCCCAAACAGGCAGTTGTGATGACGGCAACAATGCCGGTTTATAACATATTTTTTAAATATATTTTTTTAAAAACCCCAATACGTGCACTTAAAATTGTAGTTCGATTAAATATCAATCAATAACGAAACAACTCGACACGTTCATCAATAGCACTGCGGCCTTGAGAATCCTGGAGAAATCCGATGAGCTATAAAGTTATTTTTCACAGATGGCCTCGACAGGAAAGGTGTACAACAGGTGACGCCTCTCACTGTGGCCCTCCTTCAGAGGCATATCCACGTAGCGTGGCCCTCGCCTGAGGCGTCATTGACGAATACGCTGCGTTTTAGTTCATTATTATGTACGGCATCGCCAACCAAGCAATTTGATGTATGTGCAACAAATAAAGCATGGGAGGTTATATTGTACGGAAGGGACAGCAGTGCAGTAAGAAGTTGAGCTGCATCTTGGCGAAGGTGGGCGGGTTTGTAAACCACGACAATGTTATGCGGGCATACGGCCACTCCGGCATCTCTACGCACCTCCGATTTGCACGGTTGGCTACGTACAGTGCAAGGGAAGTTCAACGTACATGTATACACACCGAGACCCATAGATTTGCATGGTTGGCTACGTACTGTCTCACATTTCCACATGCGTGCGTGTTTCCCTGCTGCCTTGGCTCACGTGAAACGGACCGGGCCGGTCACCAGACGTGGTGGGGGGAGGGCCGGGGGTGAATCGTTCTTGAATCTTTCTGCCACCAGTGGGGCCCTGGTTCATGCGTGACGAGTGGGGATTGGATGGCGGATTCTCCGATGCAGGCACGAGAATGCAGTTGTTTACTGATACAACCTACATTTGTCAAACTCACGTGTGCATGTGCAAAACAGGCTGTGCACGTCCAGCGTTCATGCAAAGCCATTGCTGAGTGAGGGCCATCCCACGCCGTGCGGGTCGTGAGGGTTAATTCGACCATTCTTCGCCACGCCGGTCAGCGTGGTTCAGTGAAAGTGGGGAGCACCGATGTTGAAGCATAGTAGTACAGTACAAGAATGGATGTTTCCGCTCTGCTCTCTGCTCGCCACCATATAGCCCCGCAGCCCATAACAGCTGTTTGTGTGTCAGTGGTGGTCGCCCATTTAAGCAATGTCCAGGCTCAAAACCGGCTCGGCTTGTGAGGTCTGAGGAGATTAGGCGCATTCTGAATGATTTGGTCAGAGGCAAAAGAAAAAGCACGGAGAGTAGCGTTATTATAAACAAGGTGAACTGGGCGCGATGTAACAATTCCCAAGTAAAGTAACCGCGACAGTTGCCTCTATCGTGAGCATCTAAAATATGTACATTCTCGAGTGCTGGGACACGGTGGCAAAAGTAGCCAAACGGCGACGATACCCTGCTAACATAATGTGTGTGTGTGTGTGCTCTGCAGCAATTGAATGTTTACAGCTGATCAGGCTTCTTGCGTCAGCTCTCATTTTTTTCCAGTAGAACTCTTTCAGACGTATGTATTTTTTTTTTCGATTTAAATCTTTCGTGACTGCAGGGATTCATCTTCTGGGTTCTTTCGGTGAAGTCACGTAGAATGGAGATAAAATAATAAAAATAATAATAACAGAATAAAATTCTCACGACGTTTCGGCCACAACACAAGTAGCCTTCCTCAGGTGAAGAAACAGGACTGTCCGGAAGACAGCGCTTGAGTGAACCCTGCCAAGCTTGGAAGCGTCTTTTAAGCTGTGTGGGAGGAACAGAGCGCCTTGACAAAGGAGTTTACATATAAATTAGCATGATGTTGGTGTGAGGGATTAGAATGATGTTGGTGTGAGGGATTTTTTTAATCCGAGAACCATCTGTGACAGAGGAGGCTTCGGTCACAGAAATAACAACTCGGTCCCTCTCCAGACGTCTCTTCCGCAAGTCGCTTTTCAGTTCCTGTCAATCCACACAGGGTGAAGGACAACCTTCCCTCCGTTGAGTATCCTGGATCACACAAAAAAATCTAAAATAGCTACAAACAGAATCACTGCCGCTGGCTAGACTCTCCCATTAAGCTCGACTTTCACTTTGGAAGCGCTGCAGTGGTAAGATGTTAACTACCTCTCCCAGCATGCAGGAGGTCGTGAGTTCAATCCCGGCTCTGACGCCTGATATTTGGCATTTGCGTGTTCTCTCTCCCCGTGGTAGTGTGGATTTTTCTCCGGGTCCTCTGGTTTTCCCTCCACATTTAGAATCAACATCACGCGTTTCGAGGATTTGGCTGCTGTAAATTTGCACACGATAAGCCACTTCGTTGAGCTATCATTTGTGGCCAGGTCGCTTGTGAAAAAAAATGTAATTGCTCAGTGGGCCTTACCTGGAACAAAAAAAACAAAAGTAAGTAAATGTTTTAAAAGCATTTAAGAAGTCTCTGTCGAAGCGAAGCCGCGAAAGACGGAGATATCGTGGTGTAAACAAAGGCAATGGGAGTGCGGTCGTGCACCGGCGTTCATTAAGCGCTACACCCTTGGCACGAGGGCAGGGGTGACATTATGCCGCGTCGAGCCTGCTTTCCGCCAGACAGGTTCAGATGTTTGCCATTGGTGAGGACGACATCAGAATCAATTCCAGGACAACTGATCACAGATGGGGGGGGGCGGTGGAGTGATTAGGAGAGCCTGTAGACATACCCTGGTTGTGTTACAAGCATATTAAACGTATCAATTACCTTGTACATTAATAATGAATGTATACATTTTTTCATATAGATTTCGGAAACATGCAGTAATGTACAATAGAAATGCGTCCTTAATTCAGTTGTTTTCTTACGAAATCTTTCAATGCTTACCATTTCATTCTTTATGAGTAACATTACATTTTCAATGGCTGCATTTCTTACATTCTAATAGTCTAATTAGTAGAAGTGTAGTTAGTACGATTTCCGTATTGTGTGACACACAGCTTCACCATGGAACTATTATAGCAACAGCCGATCCTCATTAGACTCAGTGCTGTAATGTATACACACATTCGAAACTAAATATTCCCTCTATCGCTTCCGATGTGTGGCAGTGTTTGGTGCAGCTGTGAAGCCTTACTCATGCTCGTGGGGTTTTTTTTTTAATCACTACCGGCAACGATTGAACTGTAGCCAGCACGGGTAAATTATCTGTGACCCCCCACTCCGCATTGAATCCATTATGCGACATAATCTGGAGGCAGCTTTAATTGAACTGCTAATGGCGTTCAAATTTGTTGTTTTTATCATGTGTATGAGACTGACACAACGATCCAAAAGCAGCCCTCTGTTTATAGCAGCTGCTGCCCAAATTGAATGTTGGTGCGTCTTTTGTGTTAACTCGATCCAGCTGGGTGGCACTGCATTTAAGAGTACACAACCCCCGGTCAGAAAAGCTAAGTGACCTCTAATCCCGGTTGGAAGATGACTCAGCCCACAGGCTCTTGGTAATCCAACAGAATTTGCTTAACAAGCCTGACTGTTCATAACACCTCAAAGGTTGAAACTGGTCCAGATATTTCTTTCTGAAACCAATCAATTAACGTTTTCTTTTAAGGCGCCTTTCTGAAAACCAAGGACCCCTATACATCAATGATTATCCTCTATACAATTTTTTTAAAAACAATGCAATTAATATAATGACTAGGTTATTCTGCACCCATACCTTTTATAACATTAATTTGTTTTCATCTGTAAATGCCACGCTATACAGGTTACATCTAAAGTTTTTTTTTAGCACTTTGGACAGTCTCGGAGTTCCTTTATCCGACGAGGAAGGGAATACCACAGTGGGGTATGAGCTGTGTAAGCAAAGGAAATGGCCCCAGATGTTTGTAATCACGCCCTGGGGATGTTTAGAAATACCTCACTGGCAGATCGATGCAAGCAGATTGAAATAAATGCTGCCAGATAATATTGACCTGGACCAAAACATACTTGTATTTATATGTGGAGACACAGATTGTAATTCTGTGGATTTAATGAGGTCCACTTTGTAGGAACTCACCAGCCGTGTTATTCTCGAGAGACTGGCTTCCACCAGAGGAATGTGGAGTTTCTACTCTGTGTTTTTTTCCCTTTGATAATTATTAATCAGTTGAGATGAGGACTGCCAATTATCTATTTTTTATCAGGAAAGGCTGTAGTTTCAATTTTAGAAGTTATCCCTTTATTTTGTTTCACCAGGAAATAACTCAAGAAACCACGCTAACCTCATTTGCAAGAATTACCTGGGGCATTAGTCCCACACGGGGCCGTTGATTGCTGTATATAATAACAATTGAGTGATTTGTGGGTCATTTAATGTGAACTGTGATGCCAACACATACAACGGCCTGCCTGCTCTTGCAAATAACGGCACCGGGGATCGTTAAGGTCCACTGTAAAGCAGGCGGTGCATATCAATATGGTTAATCAGCGCGGCCAGTGAAATCGAACCGTCAACCTCTGTAACTGAGCGACAGCTGCGCTTCCCCAAAGCCATTTAACGCTCGCGTGTAGCATTTACATTGCAGTGCAGTGTACGGCGAATATATTCATCTCTTCAGCATTGATCTAACTCAGCCCCTTCATCGGGGTGGGAGGAAGGGGGGGGGGGTGCCCCAGGTGCGATGGTTTTAGAGATAGAGGAGCGACTTCAATGCTGCAGAGACGCAGAAGTCGGCATCACCGCCAAAGCTCCCCCTCCCTACATCCCTGCGGCGGCGCTGCGGAATGCGCCGCCGCTTCCGCCGCCGCATCCCAGGGAGCGCACCAAAGCGTTCAGCGTCAACAAAGGACAGTCTGGGAAACCGGTCCAGCGAGTGCCTGGCAGTGGGCAAATTCAGAATGGTCCTCTTGGCAGTGCTAAAAATCTGGTAGATAGTGGCTGGGCACAGCTCGCCAAAGAGCCCTTACAAGGGCACAACGCATCGGCGTCTCCCGGCTAGCCGAATCGCTTAATGCCTCTCTAAAAGGACTGTCCGCCAATGGATTGGACTGTGGCAGTGAGTAGTGGTTAACTTAATGGTGGAGCGGTGACACAGCAGTTAACCCAGGGACCTGAGCACGATAGCCAGTCATGGCTGACATAATTGGCAAGTGATATCTGAACCGATCCTGGACACCCCCCCCACCACCCCTCCCGACATTCACCAAACCGCACTGACCGGCGTGGTGAAGTATGGTTAAACAACGGCCATTAACACATGGGATGGGGAGGCCCTCTTCCAGCAGTGTATTTTTTTAAAATGACAGTATGTTAAAGTATATGCCGCTCATTCATATTTAGCCTCGGTGTGAATCAGCATGAGCCCAGTTGATGAAACTCTCGTTGCATGGACCACAGCCGATGCTGCCCAGTGGTGGTGGCCCAGCGGTGGGGGTCCTAAACGGAAATAATTTGGAGGGACCTCCCTTTCCATTTATAAATTCCTAGTGAGATGACAGAAGAGATAGTCAAGAGCTATAGATGCATGTCTTGAGATAAAAGACACATAAACAAAAATATAAATGTGGGCAGAGAACATATGAGAGAGATACATTTTCCTTTTTATGTTAATGAGCCCGACATGTTAATTTGGATGTGAATTTGAGCTGCTGTTTGGTGCGCCTCTATTTATTTTGTCATGAATCCCCATGGACTTGCTTTGGGCCCAAAGTGGTGACAGCTTTGTCTGCTTATGTTGAGCATCGTCCCTGAAACACTCCCCCCCCCCTCCCCTCGCGTCCATGCCCTGCCTGTGACCTCCCCGTGCCAGAGCTTCGTGGAGAGGCTGCTGGAGCTGACTTCGTGGCTGCAGCAGGCTGACGAGCAGGCGGAGAGCATGGGCCCTCCGCGTCCCGACACCCAGAGCCTCAAGCTGTACCTGCACAACCACCTGGTGGGAGGCCCACTTCCCCCGACATCCTCCCCACCCCACGCCACTTGGAGAGGAGGGGGTGGCTATGCCTCTGCCAACGTCGCATGTGACTGCTGAGTTGCATATGAAACACCACAAACTCATTGTGAAAGAAACTCAACACAATCGCCAATAACACCGTGGCCTTTAAAGGAAAAGTATAGAATAGGTGACATTTCGGGAAATGGCCCTTTTTCATATAAAACCTGTGTTGGTGCAGAGCATTATGGGTAAGTCAATATGCTGTATAAGTAGAAATCCGACCTGTTATTCTATCGGACGATTTTATTTCCAATCGTCCGATGGAATAACAAGCCATTTTACCATACGCAGAACTTCTTTCTGCGTATGGTAAATGCCACTGACCCTTTCTGTGATTTAGAGGGAGAGAAGATCGTGATGGTTTGGCGGAGTGTGCTGCTTCAGAAAGATGAGCAAGATTAGAATAATCTTGAGAGACTAGCCTTTTGCCTGTCCAAGGACGGGTGTATTGCAGTAAATCTGAAACTTGCAAGCGAAAATCAGACCGCGACGTGATATTCATTGCATTAATGCGTGTGCAATTTGTAAGGCCGTGGTGACACAGACCTATTTCATTTAAAGGTTACAATCCCTTGTTCATCACGACGTCCTTTTTACTTTGATGTCTCAACAGCGTGACGTGAGGGTTCTGCCTTTGTAGTGAGGGTTGTAAGTTGACGCCGAGGAGGGGGGAGTGACGTCAACCATATGGAGTGACGTCAACCGCTAATTATTATGAATGGGGGGGGGGGTGTCCATTTGGAGGACGTCACCTGCTCATGAATGTTAATGGAGGGGGGCTGTTCGATGTGGAGTGACGTCACGAGCGTTAAGGACAGACATTCCTGGGTGCTAATAGGTATTTAGGGTACCGTAATCCTTTTTGTCAGGCTAATCTTTCTGAAGAAGACCACTTGGCTAAAATGTTTAACTTGTATCTGTCATTGACCAAAAAAATAAATAAATCCAGATTTCTTAAATATAATGTTACTCGTTGTTCAGGTGCAGTGTACAGCAACAGCATAATTGCCCGATGTCATAGTTGTATAACAATGCATTGATTGATGGTGTGGTCATGTGACACTTAGAGCGGAGAGCAAAACTACAAACTACAAACGAGACGGGGGGGGGGGGGGGAGCAGGCAAAATTACAAACGAGATGGGGGGGGGCCCACGAAGAAACGAGACCAAATCAACAACTGATGCACTAATCAAATCGCGACCCCCCCCCCAAATTGTGACATTTCCATGGAATCGCTTGGGGGCATGGTGAACCTTCCCCGCTTAACTTGCAGAGGCTGCCTGTAGCAGGAGCCCCGCGGTGTCGTCCTGCCCCTTGTGCTGAGCTACGCAATATTTAGAGTCAAACACAAAACGCACGGCGACCAGTGTACAGTGGACGCATCACGGCGAGCGTGATGCGTCCCGCAGTTTATTAATTTTATTGCCTCGCGTTGACACCTACGGTATATCATCTCATCTCCCTGCCTGTTTCTTTTTTCTGACTTGTAGAGTTTTAAGATGAGCATGGAGAGCCGCTGCGTGATGAAGGATGAAGTGGTGGAAGAAGGAAAGCAGTTTTTGGATTTGCTCGGGGCGAGGCTGTCTGGTTAGTACGACCCCCTTGGTTTGACACTCGGCCGTTGGCCGATCGGTATCACCGGTAACACCCTCGCCATCCTGAGCGAGTTACCGGTGACCTCCAACAACCTCAACATTCCACGCACGAGTGTGACCTTGTGCTTCGTACTGTTACAATTGCGCGCACGTGTGCCAGTGTAATTACATGCCCCTTGCTCTTTTAACGTTTGGGAACGTGCATGGCGTTTTCTCATTTGTTCACCTATTTATTTTAGTTTTGTGTGCTTATGTGTGCGTATTTGTGCACGCATAAGTACGTGCGTATTCACGTGTTGCGTGGGGACCGGTGGCTTGGTGGTTAGCGCACTTTGCTTCGAACCCGGCGACCGTAGTTTGATTCGTGCTCACGACCAATAACAGTGGTGAATATATGAACCAATACTGGGCCTCCCCGATGTTGACTCAGCCTTAAATGATTACCTGGTGCTGTGTGTAAACATCAGCACTGGGGAGACAAAGGCAGCCGGTCGGCAGCGGTATTGGCCGCCCACCCCCCTTGTTTGCGCCGTGCCGGCATTCACAGGTGCTGGCTCGCTAACAACACTTGCACCAACAGTCCTCTGCACGAGTGCACGTGCTTCGTAACGCGCGTGTTCCGCCGGGCCCCAGGTCTGCCAGGGCTGCTGGGCTGGCTCGAGGCCGCGTGGACGTCGCTCCAGGCCCACATCTGCCGGCAGCACCGCTGGCTCCTGGCCGCCTTGGACGTGGCCAAGGCCGGGATCCTGGCGTCGCACCAGGCCCGCCCGCACGCCGCGGGGCACGCCCAGCCGCAGGTTACCCGCACCTCGGATTGGCACGGTTGGCTACGTGCGGTTGTGAAAGACGTTCAGCATACGTACATACAAATGATCAATGCATGGCCTAACCTGGAAGACCACACTTGGATTCCTATGATACTATCTGCTGGACGTGATGGATAGCAGAGGGCAGTGCAGTGTAATCCGTTGTTGTACTGTGCCTCTATGCTCGTCGCCTTCACCAACCCGTGCTGACGGGCGTGGTGAAGTATAGTCAAATAACCCCCATGATTTGCGTGGTGTCAGGAAGCCCTCATTCAGCAGTGGGTTGACCAAAAGGCTGTCCATGTACATGATAAGATCATTCACGCTCTTTCTTGCTGACCCCTTTGCATTATCGGGCTTTGGGCTTTAAAGAAAAAAATCTTAGTTTCAAAGTAGGTAAATAAATGTATTCTTCTTTGGCTTATAGGTGTTATTGTACCCTTTTAACGCTCCTTTTATTAAAATACTTCCAATTACATAATACATAAATGGCACGATACTGTGGGTGTATAGTTAATGATTAGCTCACAAATCATTATCTCATAGATCATTACCTCACAGATCATTAGCGTGCACCATTTCACTTCAAGGCTGCTAGCCTTAGGTAACTCTAGGTTCCATGTATGTACTTTGAACTTCTTTCGCAGCCAGCAGTGCTAATCGGAGGTGTGGGGGAAGGACAACAAACTAAACACAAAAAGCTTCTAATGAAATCAGTTTTCAATCTAGATTTCGAAGTGCATTGCTCCAGTGTCTTCCCAATAGGTTGCCACCTTTTCCACAGACCAAACCCAGACATATTCCTCATTCAACCTAGGTCTATCAAATCCATGCAGTATCCTGTAATAAATTTCAACACAATACTGGTACAAGATCTCGTTAGAATCAATTCCCACCCCCCGAACAAAGATGCAATTTTATGGACTGCCTGGGTCAAATCCAGAACAGATTGCAACCTCAATGGCTCAAGTGGGACATAATTAGTCAATGAAACTAAACAAAAAAATCCCAGGGTGTATTTGTCCGGTTTGGCGAGCGGCTGGTGGTGATGAGGTTAACCGGGCGGGCGGGCGTGCGTGCGTGCACGCAGTGCGAGGGTCAGCTGCTGGATCTGGAGCTGGCGCGAGACACTGTGGAGCACTTGTCCCTCCGACTGCACCACGAGCGCTACCTGGGCCACGCGCAGGGGGCGGCACGGGCCGCACGCTCCCTCTCGCTCGCCAGCGACGCTCGGCGCAACGACAGGTGAGGCCCCGGCGCCGGATTTTTGCCGTCTCTGTGCCCAGGGACGAGTGGGACATTGAAGGCTCCACTGTCCCCCCCACTCCTCTCCTACCCCCCCCCCCCCCCCCCCCCCCCCCCCCCCCGCTGAGCTGCGTAGCTTTTTTTCAGAAGCGACCCGGCCAATAATGATAGCTCAGCGAAGTGGCTCATCGTGTCTACATTTATTGCAGCCAAATACTCTGAACGCACGTTGATTCTAAATGTGGGGGTGGGGGGAAACCGGAGGACCACGGGGAGAACAGTCGGGGTGGGTCAGAAAGTTACGAGAACAAACAATACCAAAAAACGAGAGGAGTGCAAAGTATAGGAGAGGTAATCACATCGCAAAAGAATAAAAACATAAAATCGATGATTTATGTAAGTTCAAATTGGACAGTGGGCCCTATTTCATTCCATGCTCTAGGGCCAATGCCTGCTAACCATGCTCCGCTGCTTTGCAAGAGGTTGAGCTGTGCCCTGGACTCGACCGTAATTCTCGCGGTTTAATGGCGATTTTAAAACTCTTGAGCGCAATATTTTATGCTGTCCTAATAACTGTATTTTCAAGCTGTCAGACGTCGCTGTAAATTCCTTAGCACACACGCCTCGCGTCTTCCTTGGAACTTTCCTGTCATAAATGGGTTTTTGTGCAAGCCAATATTTGAGAATTTAATAATAATATTTTTTGTTTGTTTACCCAAGAGAGACTTTGCTAAGCTTCTCAAGGCTCATTGTCAGCGAGGTGTGGTCGCCTCCGTGGGATGTTTAGCCAATTTATTTAAGCATTTCTCAGTGTGCAAGTGCAACAGAGTGCTCAGAGGAAACCTAAAGGTATGAAGGGAGGGTTGTCTCCACACCTGTGACCTTTGTGAAACACCCTTACTGTACTGAATGCTGTAGATACAGCACTTAATTTTCCCTGTACGCTGCAAGACGTTTGCCCAGCATTGAAGAGTAGGGTCCAGTTCTTTCTAGAGGGGGCTGTTTAGAGCTCCCTCCAGCGGACGCTTTTTGGACACAAGTGGCATTTGCAAGCAACTGCAGGGGCTGCGCCTTTACCCTCTTAAGTCACCAAATCACACGCATGCACCGCAGCGCTCGGCGTTACGGCACATCGGGGCAAATCTGCAGGTCTGGCAAAAAAAAAGAAAAATGGGAGTTTGTTTTCAAGGCCAGGTTCTCACATTTCTAATGCAACAGCTATTTTGAAATGACAATATATCATGTCCTGCCAAGCACACGATTTGTGATTGTGCTCCACAAATAGCCGTTACCATGCGGGGATGGGTTTCTTCTGCAGCTTGAATAGTTGCCGATTGTAACAGCTCACGAGGTCTGGCTCTACTTTTCTGCTCTGCTCCAGTTGCGAAGAGTTTGGTGCCAACTGCCTGGAGCTGTGGGATTGGCTCTGCGATGTGGAGGCGGTGATGTCAGAAGACAACGACTTGATGATGTCAGAGGAGCACTGGCACCAACTGTCTAAGGTTGGGGGCCACACTTTTGGAGTACTGCGCATCTGGTTTCTAAGAAATTTCCGCAATAATTGTATTAAACGTCTACTGAATTTATATATAAAATATATTTTTTATTATTTATTGTTTCCCTTCTACGTGACTTTACCGAAAGAACCAAGAATATGAATCCCTGCAGTCACGAAAGCTGTAAATCAAAATTCTACTGAATTTGTGTTGGTCATGCACTCTTCTGGCTGCGGTTGTTTTGCCCTGTTTCTTGAATGTTGAAATTACAACACGATGCGTGTGTATGCACACGACCTCATTTCAAGACGCGGTACGGAATTGTGACAATTTATTTTTTTGGACAAAAGGACGAGTTAAGCCTGACCTCAACAGGGGCATGGAATGGACAGCATAGGTGTCTGGAGGAAGAGAGTTTCAGACTGAGGGAAACAGAAGAGAATGAGCGATCTACCACTAAGTCAATGTTGACTGGGGGATCCAATCGGAGGCCTTTGTTGCTGAAGCAAAAAAGTGCATTGAGGGGAGTTCAGTTCCATAACAAAAATTGAATTCGGTTGCTGTTCTATATGGTATAAAAAACATTGCTTACATTTTTTTAACGTACCAGATCATTCCCGACAGCAATGACCGTTCACCTGTAACTATCTGACCCATTAAGAATGCACGTTGCCCCCTGTTGGATAACAAGTAACTCTGCAACAAATATTCAATGCTCGCATAAAGGATGTATCTAACCACATAGGTGTGAGGAATTATTTCCCTTGGCGATGTCTGATTTGGTGGGGGTTGTGCAAACGAGTATTTCGGCCCTCAAAAGAGGACGCACGGTAAGGTTGGCAATGATTTGTGTATTTTGAACTTCTTTCGCACCGTACATATCCAACGCTGCTAAACGGAGGTGCGGGGTTTGTGTGCGACACGGTCGTGTCTCTCGCACACGCGCACCCCACACCCCAGGTTTACCGTGTGGAGCTCACCATGTGGCTGCCCAAGAAGAGGCAGATCTTCACCCAGGGGCAGGAGCTCGTGAGCCTCAACCAGACGCTCACGACGGATACCGTGCGCTTCAAGCTGGAGCAATTGGATGCCAAGTGGAACTCGGTCGAGGTACGGCGGCGACGTGGCACTGTGTATATTGTGGGGTTTTATTCGTTTCACAGATTGGTCCAGATGTCTTGTGACTCCCCCCCCCCAGCCCTCCACCGTGCTCCCCCAAAAACCACCCTGTACATGCTGAATAGAAGCCTAGAGGCCAATAACTAGGGATTAATTTCAGCCAGGTCTGTCTAGTTTGGTGACTCATAAAATATTTCTGACTCCTGGCACACCACATCCAGTACACCTCTCGCGATGGCTGTGACTACTTGTCATGTGCCCCTCAAGTCTACCAGCAATCCGGAAAATATTCAGTCAGAATTCAAGATCTGCCTCTTAGGAAGCCACTGGAGCTATGTGCACGTTATATCTAAATAAAAAACACGTATTTATTTAGAAATGCTTTTTGTGTGTAGTTGTCCTTCCCCCCCCACCCCGTACCTCCGATTAGCATGGTTGGCTACGCATGGTGCGAAAAAAGTTCAGGATACATACATAACGCTAAGAGGACAGAAACTTAGAGCACTAATGATAGTCCAGCAGATAAGTATGAACGCATTTCTTGATAAGGGCAAGGTTATAGGAAATTCGGCAGAGAGAAGATGGGGGTTCAAGAGTCATGCAATCAAAGGAAATGAAGAGAAAGAGAAATGTACTGTCCTGAAATATGATTGTTAAGCACTGTAAGGACTAGAGAAAACAGTGATTCTGGTAGAACAAGTCCTTGGCATTTGCCAGATGTATGAAGGCAATACGATAACAATGATGATGGCCACAGTGATTAAAGAGGCATAAGGAAGACATTGTATGACAGGGAGAGAGTGACAGGAGTAAATCCTTACTTTGCGTTTGGCTTAAAGCATTCTCCGCCGTATTGTTGGTGCATTACACAACATTTCGTTTTTCTTCTGGATTGTATTTTTGTATGTTTTTTTTACTACCTGATAATACTTATGGCGAGTTAAAAACTGCACCGGATTAAAAGTAGGAAAATTACAAGGAAGAATTGCAATTTGAGGTCAACTCGGCCCATAATTCCTCCAGGGTCAATAAAATGAGTACCACCTTGTGGAGAATCAACACTGGTCATCCTATGGATAACCTGGGCCCCCACCATCAGGGGGCACACTTTTCCACATGCTTTGCTCCAGAGAAATGACGACTCTAATTCTTGACCCGGTTCCCATGTCTCGCTTTCTCCATGCGAACCTAACTACATTCTCTCCCCTAGCCCTCCACCGTGCTCCTCAACCATCCCAACTATCCGACCACCAGACCTCTGCCCCTACCACCCTTCACCTACCCTCATCCATGCCTGGCCACAGCGCCGACCTATGTTATCATTTCACGCATGTGCCTCATATCCCGCTGCCTCTCATTCACGTTGCACCCATCTGTCACCCTCATTCACCATCACACTCCACCGTATTCCTCCTTCCCTACCCCTGCAACATCAGCAGCTACTATCCCAGCCCCTGACCCTTCCATCACGTCCCTCGCTGACAGCCGCTCCACCCCACCCGTTGCTCCCCTTTTGCCCCTTTGTGTACCGCCGTCGGTTGGCATTGTAAAGCGCCCTGGAAAGGGCGCTGTATGAATTCTGAATAGAATAGAATATGGCAAGCAAGCCAAAATGTTTTCACATTGCAATCTGGAATGGAGCAAAATAAAGTGAAAACCTACATTGAATGCAGTTGTTTTTGGTGCAGTCATTGGTGACTGGGCTGAGACCATCAACTCACTACACTTGAGAATGCGGCCGATATCCGGATACCCGGATTCCGGGTTCCGGGTTCAAGATCTTGGTGGTCCGAGCTCAGTGCTCTGACCTCTGAGCCATTTAATTATTCAAGATGACCAGGAGGCTCTTAGGTTAGAGCGCTGATCCGACAGCGCTGAGATCCTGGGTTTTAATTCAGGTGGCTATCTGTCATTAAATCGTGTTCTAAAGTGTAGTGTCAGTCTGGTCACCAAGGACTACGCAAAAACACATGAAAATAAATTGTTGTAACTGTCATGAACTGACCATCACTGTCAGTAGCAGAGTGGGCGGGAAAGTGCTACCCCCTCCTTTCTGGAGCAATTGAAAGCTTGCCCCCTACCGTGTGGCCACTCGAGGGGGCCCCTGAAGTAGCTCTGGGATATCCGCTTTCTGTGAGCCGCTGCGCGAAAGATCCAAATATGATTCTTCATCTCGCGACGTGACGCCGGTGGCGCAGTCGGGATGCGATTTTGGGATTTATTTTTTTATATTTAAGTTAAAAAAAAGAAAGTTTTGCGACGACGAATTAAGAAGGGGCGGTAAGAACGAGGCGTTCTGCATGGCGCGTCGTCGCAGAGTTTCCTGGCGGCGGCGTGCGGGGAGCCCGCGGAGCCGCCCGCGTGCGAGTCGCTGAGCCCTGCCGCGGCGCAGCTGGTCTGCCGCCTCGAGGGCCGCGTGCGCGAGCTCAAGGCCTGGCTGCGCGACGCCGAGATGCTCGTGTTTGACGGATGCGTCGAGCGGCGCACGCCGACCGACCTCGACCGCCAGCTCGACCACTTCAAGGTACCGCACCGCGCACCGTGGCTCCACCAGTACCACCACAGCGATACCGTACAGTAGTTCCATCAGTACCACCACCAGCACCACCACAGTGATACCACACTGTAGTTCCACCAGTACCACCACCAACACTACCACAGCGATACCACACTGTAGTTCCACCAGCACCACCACCACAGTGATACTACACTGTAGTTCCACCAGTACCACCACCACAGTGATACCACACTGTAGTACCACCAGTACCACCACCACAGTGATACCACACTGTAGTTCCACCAGTACCAACACCACCACCACAGTGATACCACACTGTAGTACCACCAGTACCACCACCACCACCACAGCGATACCACACTGTAGTTCCACCAGTACCACCACCACCACAGTGATACCACACTGTAGTTCCACCAGTACCACCACCAGCACCACCACAGTGATACCACACTGTAGTACCACCAATACCACCACCAACACCACCACAGTGATACCACACTGTAGTTCCACCAGTACCACCACCACCACAGTGATATACCACACCTTTATCACACAGTGGCTTTAACTGAATGGCTCCCCAGCGGGCCACCTGACTGTCCATCACATGGCAAACTGATATCTTTCATGATCAGAGCTGGAATGAATAAAAATTTGTCCAGTCACTGGTGAACCAGCTAAAACCATCAACTCACTATCCTGAGTTTAATCGCAGGCGATTCCCAGGAATCTAAAGATTTCAGTACCCTGACCCCTGAGACGCCTGACCACCTTGACACAGGCAATGTTCGTTGTGTGTAAATGACACGGGGAGTTATCTCCCCGCAGTCCCTGTGCCACGAGATAAGGCGCCGGCGAGGAGGGGTGGCGGCCCTCGTGCGTCTGTGCCACCGGCTGCTGGAGGGGGTGGGCGGTGCCGGGGACGGTGGCGCTGGTGAGAGGGGGGCGGCCGGCGTTGGCCACCCGGGGGCGGACGGGCAGAACCTGCAGCTGGCCGCCGTGTCGCTGGAGCGACGCTGGGAGGCTGTCGTGCTGCAGGCCGTGCACTGGCAGTCGCGGCTCCAGCGCCGGCTCAACGCGGAGCAGGTGTGTGTGGGGGAGGGTGCATGGTAGCTGGGGGAGGGCGGGAGGGTGACAGGGGGGAAATGGGTGGTGAGCCCCAATGCCCCTGTCGCAAATTCGAATAAGTGAATTGAGTTACGATTTTTTATGCTCATGAATTTACTGAATATTTTAGCGATTTTTCACCGCATTGATGAAGGGATAAGAAACTGTGCATTTTTGTGGTCAATGGCAGCACAGTGATTCCTGGCCATGGCCAACATCAGTGTTGAGTGATGTTTGAACTGGTCCTGGGCATACCCCCTTCACCAACCCTCGCTGACAAGTGTGGCGAAGTATAGTAAAACAACCAGCAGTAGACTGACAAAGGAAGAGCTGTAAACTATAATTATGTATTTAACATGGATTTGTTTGTCATGTGGACAACGCCTAAACACTGGCAGTATACATTGTTTATTTTTATTAACAATAAAACATGGCAAGGCACACATGCAGGAGACAAACACTCCTCGTGATTTTATATATGTAGCAGCTTGAGATGCAGCTGCATTTATATGCTGTCCAGATCCAAATTGTGCTGCGTTTATATTCTTTCTATAAATGAACATTCATGCAGCGAATGCAAAAACTTAGACGAGAGGCTGCCCCAGACTGTGCCTGGCGGTGACGGCGTCTCACTCCCCTTGCCCCCCACCCCCCCCCCCCCCCCCCAGGTGACCTTGAACTACGTGGACGCCTCCCAGTCCGACTTGTCGGTCTCTCCTGTGGAGGGTCTGGAATGGGATGAAACGGACCTGGGAAACGAGCTCTCGGCTGCCCGTGCTGAGCAGCCACCTCCGGTCGCCTCCTCCACGCCGAGTGACACCGGCAAACCTTCGGCTGTAGACACGTGGAGTATGGGCCAGTCATTCCTCCAGGCCGGCCACGATTCCGGCTTCTCCCCTGGCTCCTGCCAGAGCCCCGGTCGCATGGACGGAACGACTCGGCGATTGGCTGCGGTGGAGGAGTCGAGCAAAGGCGGCCGTGGTCGACCTGCCGAGCCACGGCAGGCCGACGGTCAGGACTCGTTCTCGTCCACGGACTCGCTGCTCAACCTCCTGGATGGGCTGCTGCTGGCCGGGAGTGGCGGCGGAGGCGGCGGCGGCGGAGGAGGAGGAGGCGGCGAGCGCTCGTGCGAGTGCGAGAGCGGCATCGCCAGCGAGGGCGACGTGGCCACGGCGTCGGACTCTGGGCTGCTCTCGGAGGTGCAGGACCTCGACGGCGACACGTCCTCCTCCAAGGTGGAAGATGCGGCGCCGGCCTACAGGCCCGATCCTTTCGCCAGGCTCCTCACCTTCGGGGGCTACGCCAGCTCGCTATCGGATGAGGAATGCGACGAATACCTGGACACGGGCAAGGAAACCGGGAGTGATCCAGGTGCCAAAAGCCCGAAGCAAGAACACGACGGTGATTCTGAGCTCGAGAAAGCACTAACCTTCTATGATTACTCGTACCTGAAAGAGGACAGTCTGGAGAACGTCATGGCTATCTCCGACTTTCCTACAGTAGTTATACAAGACGACAGCGCACTTGATTTAAGCAACAGAAACAAGACGTCTCATAACGCACTGACGAGTACCAATCCGTGCTATTCTGAAGTTGCAGGGTATGTGCACGATCATGAACGCAAAGGCCAGCTGAGCCCAATATCATCTATTATGGGGCAGCATTCAAGTAACGTGTTCCAGAAATTTGAACTGGGGAGAGTGTGCGCAGGAAAAGGTGATCAATTTGATACCATGATCCAGAGGGAGGACTTTGTGAACGTGGCTAGGAAAAGTCCTCGGAGTTTCACGTCAAGCTGTCTTACTGAAAACAACAAATCAGGAAGAAGTGCCTACTTGAATGAAAGTAGCTTGCAGCTTCTTCAGGGGTCAGAGTTGTCACAAGCCGCAGTCCACAAACGTTCTGATTCCAAGGAGAGCAACAGCTTCAACGAGGCATCGTCAAGCACAGAGACTAAACCGATGTCAGGGGTGAGAGACCACAGTTGGGAGGACCTCTCGCTCGTTGTCGATAGCCTGGCGAACAGGCCGGCTATCCCCCTCGATGGGAAGGCTGACGACGGACGGCAGAGCGGCTCGCTGCTGGACGACGACGTCAACGTGAGCTTGATCGTCAACACCTCCAGAGCGTCCGTGTGCTCGGACGACGAAGAGGACGACATTGATCTGCTGTCCAGCTCCAGCACCACGCTGAGCGGCGACAGCAACGAGCTGGAGAAAGACAGCTCCTCCAACTCCGAGGGCTGGTGCATCGACTCGGACTTCAGTGACAGCTCTTCGCTGGATGACGAGCTGAAGGATCAAAAGTTTTACGTCACGCCCCCCTGGGAAAACATCTCAAAGGGAAAGCCTCTGCTGCACAGCAACCCCATGTTACTGACGAGCAAGCTCTACTCGCGCTTTTCAGTATCACCCCTGGCCACAACAGGAAACTTCTTCGGCTCGAGTTTTAGAGTGGAGCCTGGAAGCTTTCTGGCCGATAATGCTCGCGAAGGGCAAGTGGATCCGCTCCTGGACGATATTAAAAATGGCAACATAAGCCATGCCTATGAAACAGTGCCGGAAGCTGCACGTGCTGAACGGTGGGACCGTGGAGATCCCAGTATTCACAACCAGACCTCTTTGAAAATGCGGCAAGGGGCTTTCCAAAGTTTGTCTGACGCATATACTCCGTACAATGATATGGACACAAAGTATAAGTACGCTGTTGGGCGTGAAATTTTTAACAGGGGTGACAATTACCCTCTGCTTCCTGAAAATGTCATCTCTCTGACTCGACAAAGGGAATATCCGAATAGGCAGACGAGAAATAATAGTGACGCGGTGAACTCCAACGGAGGTGACAGAGAGGCCATTGAGCTCGGGAATGGATTGTCTTCATTGCGTCACAGAGCTTCGGAGCATCTCAACAATCGGAAATCGACGGAATCCTCCAACGGACTCGGATTTCTTCTCAGAGACGACTCGGACTCGTCGCTCTCTGCACACACCGACGAGGACAACGTCCGCGACGTCGACCGCGAGCACATCACGCCGCCGCCCGATCCCTGCAGGGCTTCCCGCTCTCTTCTTCCCTGGGACAATGGAGAGGCTCGTAACAAGTTGCGTGCGACGGAGAAGCGCCCTTGGACTCGTCCCGTCCCCGGAAGAGGAGCAACGCTAAACGTAAAGAGCAGCGGCGGGGAAGAGCAGTGTGCAGCATCCAAGCTTCTGGAAAGCCAGGCCTGTGTCCGAAAATCTGAATTGCAGGAACAGGTTCTGGGTGTTCACAGCTTTGTGAATGGAGTTATAGAAGCAGCCATTACCCACATCAAGGAATCTGAGACGACCGCCCCCTCCTTCTCTCCGTCTTTCGACGTTGAAATTACCCACCACAAGGAAAAGGCTCATTTGCGTGGAGAGTCGGTGTCGCGCTTCTCGCAAGAGACGGGGTGTAGGGAGCTTGGTAATCGCGGTGGGGCCACAGGATGGTCCGCGAGAAATGTGAGTGGCGACAGTCCCAGCCGCCGCTCTGCTGTGGCCGGTGCTGAGGAGAGCCGTCCGGGCGGAACCTGTCGGGAGAACGGTGATCTCGCGCCGCAGGGAGGAGCCGCGGGAACGCGGCGGCGTCATGACTCAACGGGAGCAGAGGTGGAGGCGGCGCTGTCGGGCCTGCGCCGCCAGATGACGACAGATGAGCCTGCAGATGCCGATCAAGGAAACAAAACGTCGGCAGTGGAGTCGGTCCGCCCATCACTGGACCGGCCATCGCATACGTTGCCAGCTGCTCAAAATGAAAAACTATCCACGCCCACCTCATCCGACCTCAAGCCCAAAACATCTCGCAACGAGTGTCCCACAGACCCGCACGCAACCCCAGGCCACAGCTTAATCGACCGCCCGGCTCCAGGCAGTGGAACGCTCTGCAATCCGAGATCCCCGCCGGAGAACTCAAACTCGCGGCCACACAGCGAGGCCTCCAATCGAACGGGCTGGGACGTCAACCGCAACAGCGAGGAGCAGCAGGCGTGGGGTGGCGGTGTGGAGGCCACGCCGGGCACCGCCGCCCGGAACTCGCCGACCGCGAGGAAGCGCCCCCAGATGGGCACCAAGAGCCTGGGCGGCGGCGGCGGCGGCGGCGAGACGCTAACCTTGGCGGCCACGTCGCCGGCGTCACGGTCGCCACCCTCGCCAGTGAAGGAGGTGGGATGCAGCGCCGCACGTCGTTGGCCGCCGGGCAATGCTGAGCACGCGCAGCACTGCGCGACTCCCCCCTTCGCATGAACTTCATTCATTGATTGCTCCACCCACGTTGAGGACTCTGGTCTAGCAGGCACTGACGGTTTCAACGAGCCCTTTATTCTTCGTCGGCCACTGCGCTGCAGGTCGCGCTTCTCTCACTGCTTCTTGCCTCGCTCCGCTCCACCTTGGAATTCCCTCACGTCACCTGTTTTTCCAAGTTCATACAACCATGCTCAATTCGAGAAACAAATTACCTCTGATCTACCGCACCTTCGACAGAGCCGTTTTATTGGTGATCATTTGGCATTGTAGGCCTTTGGACCTGTGCTCAACAACCCTGATTACAAAACAAATGCAACGTCGAAACACAAACATCGATTTTTAGTTGATTATCTTCAAGAAGTGGGAAATCAGCAGCGGTTTGTCCTGTGTAGAAACCAGTCTTTACACAGAGACCAATCTCAGTGTGGCTCTCCTGCTGTTGACCCGAGAGACCTCCGATGTAAGGTTACGGTGACGGGGTGTGTCATGTGATGCATCGATTCCGTTTTAATTGATTCTTGCGCCCATGATACGTGCATCAAAACGTCATTGCGTCACAGCACATTATTTACGCAAATGATATCCTCATGTTCCATGTATGATAACGGGAGCGAACAACACTCTACAAGTGAGCCACAAAAAAGCGAGAAACAATACAAATAGCAGTAAAACGTTGATAATTATCTGTCTTCCTGCGTGCCATTTACTCTCTCAAAGATGTTGACGGTCGTGACCTTCATTCCATTTCGCTCCACCCATTTACTCCACAACTTCGCATTGGATACTCCTCCCCGTTGCATACGGTTATTCAAATTGCTCGTGTAATGCAATTCGCTGTTTTCCCACAGCTTCTTGTAGTAGCTATACTTTCCCCCGTCAATACACATTTCTAATCAGTCTCGTGTTTTTTCATTACATGTCCAACGAATCCAATTTGCCTTTCTCGAATTAGTCTTCATTATTATAGTAATTAGAGTTAACATCTCACCAGGAGTTGTGAGATGTTAACTATGGAGGAGGTTGTGGGGTCGATCCCAACTCAGAAGCCTGCTGTATGTTTGGAGTTTGCATGGCCTCCCTGTGGTCACGTGGATTTTTCTCCAGATCCTCCGGTTTTTATCTCCAGCTTTAGAATCAGCATCACGCGTTTAGAGTATTTGGCTGCTATATATTTCCAGGTGATAAGCCACTTCGTTGAGGTCGCTTCTGTAAAAGAGCGATAGAGCTCAGTGGGCCTTACCTGGTAAAATACAAATAGTTTAAGTTAATAATGTTCATTTTATTTTTGTACCTGCTATCCGTAACATGTTTACATTACCCACCTAGTCCGTCCATTAAATGTTTACCATCCATCTTAAAAAACACATATCTGAGACAAATATATATTTATATACAGTGTACACAGAACCAAGAATCGTCATTGTGACCATTCTCATTGCTTGTGGCTGGTGAACCGTTACGAGCGTGATGGTGACACTGTGACGCTCTCCGTGGACGTAATCTCACGAAGGTGCTTGTCGAAATCTATGGGAGCCTTTTTTTTGCCAGTCTCTGATGCAGGCCAATCAGTTTCAAGGACAATGCACACATGATAAAAGCACGTTCGTGTGCACGTATTACCACAACTATGTGCGGTTTGAACATCTTAACACCTCCTGTATTCTTGCCATTAAAGGTAAAGCCTTTATTTTTCTTACTTCATCCCGCCCGTCGATATCTGTGCGCAGCGTGCGCCGAGCGAAGCCGCGTGGGGCAATCCGCCGGCCCGCGCTCACGAGGAGAGACTCGCAGACGGTGGCGGAAGCGGCGGCTGCGGCAGCTGCGTCCCACGCCTCTGCGAGTGGATGGGGCCCATCCCTCCCGCACGCGCCAGCTGGAAGGCATCGTCCGTGCGTCTGCCGTGGAAGGGGCCCTTGGAACACAAACCGTTGCCCGGTTCGCCAGCCCAGGTGCGGCGAAGCGCCCGTCAACGAGACGATCATCCCCTGCCCCCCCCCCCCCCCCCCCCCCGAGCAAACGATGAGAAAATAAATCTGCGTGCCCCGTACGGAGTCACTGCCGTCGCACGCTCCAGCACAGAATTGCGGCAACGGTTGCCAGTGTAGTTTTTACCAAAGCGACCGAATGTTTAGCAGAAGCCGTGACAGCCATGGTTGCAGTTACTTCACCGTAATCGAGAAATTTGTTTTGCTTTTTACTGATGACCTCACAGCTCCGTTTTTAGCGTGTGTGCGTGTATTACATTTTATAAACATACAAAAAGGAATGACCACAAAATCTACGACATCTTATCGGCTTACAAATCCGTCCAGGATCTTTGTTAATTTTTATCATTATTTATCAGTTTGTTTTTTGTAAATTTTTTCTCCTCGTTTATTTTTGAAACGAAAACAAACAAACAACCCAATGCCTCACAAGTCCCTCTTATTTATTTCCTTTTTTTGTTTCTTGTTTTTCTTCTGCATTTGTGTAGATGTCAATAGCAGCAAAGCAAGATCAGAATCAAAGGTAATGCAGTTGATTCAGTGCTTATCGCTTGCAGGGATCAGCCCCGCAGCCACGCGCCCTCTGCTCCGTGCGTACACTGCCGAGCTGACTTCCGCTTACACTCCTGCATTTAGCTTTTTTCTTTTCAACAACAACGTAAAGCACCTTCCTTTGCTCTCATTTCACCTTATGCATGCATCTAGCAGCAGAGAATCGCGGTGGCACGCGTTGTTTTCACATCTCTTTTGCTTTAGCTTTCTCTGGAAGGGTTGCTGTTGGCGGTATAATTTTTTGTTTCAGTTGTTCTTATGTTATTTGTGTGGTTCTTTTTTCCCCCACTGACTCTAGTTAAGAAAGTTTCCGATTTTCACAATGGCTGGATCGCACATTCACCGTGATGAACGGCAGTTAATTCCTTGTCGGGCGTCGGTACACGGTTAAAAGATGGTTATGTTTACGCGTTTATCCTTGAGCGTTCTTCTTGTCGTGCTTTGGGTTGTGTTTTGTTGTCTTTGTTTTGAGCAGAAATGAAACGTCAGGACGTCTCTCTGGCTTCCCCAAAGACGCGATTCTTTCCCGCGCAACTGGCGAAGGCGGTTTCAAGAAGGTGACGATGGTGAGCGAAGGTTTGGTTGACGAACGTCGCAAGGACTTCCCGGAGAGTTTACGCAGTGTGAGAAGAAGAGCAGCTGACGAGGGGCTTGTGAGTGGAGCGGAATCGCGGAAGGGAAATCTGAAAGTTGCCGATGGTGATTTGAACGCGCGCGGCAGAAACCCGCGGGTGCAGAATAGGATGGCGAAGGCTGTGGAAAGGCCCGTAAGCAAAATGTTAAAGCGAGCTGAGCAATATCAGCACGTTGTTGAGAAGAAAAGGGAAGTTGTGCCGAAGGGCAGCGGTGTGAGCGCGCGTCTCGTGGAAGAGCAGAAGAATTTTAAGAACAGCGGTGGTGGCAGCGGCGGCGGCGGCATTCCGCTTACGATCAAAGGCGGAATGGAATTTGCCGGTGACGGTGACGCCGACATTGACGACATCTCCAAGGTGGTGGCGAGCCACGCGGGGCGCGTGTGGAACGTCGGCTGCCTCATCTGGCTGATGCTTTTGCTTGTGCTGTGGTTGGTGGCCGTTGGCCCCAGCTTCATCGCACCCAGCAACTGCATGCGGTCGCGATCATCCCTCGCCTCCATGGGGATCACGCTGAGCTACCCGTGGGGGTCGCCGCCCATCTAGGGGATTGGTGGTGTTGGGGGTGGTGGGGGCAGCGGTGGTGGCACGACGCTCACGCTATCAGTTTCGCTTAAAGCCGGGGGTGCGTAATCCTGCCTGGTGATTGGTCATACTTGGCGAGCTTGTAAGAGGATGGCGTTAGCAGGACGAGGATTAGGTTTTTAGTGTTTGCCGTTGGTGAGCTTATTATGGTGTAATTGTTATTTTAAGGACCGGCACAATTGCTGCTGGTGGAGGAGTGATATTAATAATCGACAAAGGGAGGGAGTTTACGGAATTTAATGTTACGTACACGCTTTTTTAAACAATAGCAGGAAAGTTACGGGTTATTGTTTATATTTGTATGGTTAATTTTAATGGCTCCCTTGTTAAAAGAAACATTCTTATTGGGCAGGAATAAGTCCTGTAAAAATATATATTTTAAGTTATGGTCAAACAGCACCTCCCATATATAATATTATGAGAAAATAAGCAAATGGTAGATTATGAAGCTTGTGGTTTAAAGTTATTATTTTTAATTGTGATGAGGGATGATAAAGTTAAAACCATCGAGTGGTATCACGGTAATCTTCAAAGCAAGAGCATCTTGAACAGACATAAATAATAACCAGCTATCGATTATAAGCACAAACGTGTAATCGTTTAATAATTTTAACAGTACAGTAAACAGCTACGCAATATAATAGTACCGTGAAGTTCTATAACACCCATATTCTTCGTTATGAAGTTTGTTGGGTTAGCGTCAATGTAAACGTGCTGTAAATCCACCTCCACCTGACACAACCAATGAGTATGGTTTATCACGTGAACAAAACATTCCAATATGTGACTACTTCAGCATACCGGTGTGTTGGAGAGTAAACCCACAACATTTACAATTTGAGTATTGCCTGCTATTGTCTGGCAATAACCTGATGATACTGGTTGCTGTAATTGCCAGTGAAACGTCAAGTACTCAAATTGTAAATGTTATGGGTTTACTCTCCAACACACCGGTGTGCTGAAGTAGTCACTAATTGGAATGATTTGTTCACGTGATAAACCATACTCATTGGTTGTGTCAGGTGGAGGTTTATGACATATTTACATTTACGCTATCTAACCCAAAAAACGTTATTATCAATAACATTGGTCGTGAAAGCCTACATTATTATTAGACCCATATTCTTGCCAAATATGCAATCATTTGTGGCAGTACAATATAATATGATGGCTCTGGGGGCATTCTGAGTACAGCATAAGGTAAGTGCAGCTTGTTTATGTATTTTCTGTTATAGTATTTTGTTTTTGTGTTTTTTCAATGCTTAGATTTCTGCTGCTGTCGCCCGCTTGCGTGTGTTGTGGGTATTCGCCACTGAATCTCAATCTCAGTCTGTCTGTCACCGTAGCGGTCGAAATTCATGTGGTGGCAACACGATCGATTGACTGATTGGAAATTGAACGGAAGAAGTAATCGGTTCAACCGAGACGAAAATGTTAATTTCACTGGTAGAAATGTAACAATTTAGGTTTGTCGGGATATTGTGAACATTGTGAACTGGAGGTTTTTATATCCTCTCCAACCTCTTCATGCACACACATACACCCACCACCTACCATGCTGTGTGTCAAGCGAACTTGAATTTCCATAAACTGTCAGAGTTACACCCCTCTTGTAAGAACCATCTGACCTACCGGCGCTTGCATTGCAGAGTGGGCAGGGTGTTGCCATTGGTTGGGTTGGCCCCTGGAGACCAGACCAGATGTTCTCACTTTGTCGGTGCCACCTGAGGGGGCATGGAGCTTTAGCGGTTCCATTTTCATTGCGTGGCCAATAAGAGTGATTTTTTTAGTGTGAACACCACTTGAAATGAGTGGGGTTATCGAGGTAATCCACTCCTATTGGCCGTATAAATGGGTTACTACCTCTGAGGTGGTACCAAATTATTCCCTGGCCCACGGAATAAGTCAAATAAGGTTTAACCAAAGTGTAATGCTTTCTACGTTAGTGCAATAATACATTAATGCTTAATTTCATTATATATGTGCTCATCATGAACCTTTAACGTTCTGTCTCCTGGCTGTATTCACAAAGTATTACCGAAGCACTTTTCAGTTTTTTCAGTGTATTTTATAAAGTTAACACTGTTTATTTTTGATCGGATTGTTTTAGGACATTAAGGTAAAACGTACTATAACTACGGGTGGGTTGAACTCTTTGTAAGTTATGCTTTTTTGTGTGTACTGTATATAATCAGTAATGAGTTGATCGTCATTGTTAACAATATTTTCACGTCGTGTATATATCTAATCAGAGCTACTCTGATAACAGAACCACAAGGGAAATGAAAACAGCAGTAAGAAAGACTGCTATATTCCCAAATGTTTGGAAATACAGTACGGCACCGTGCTCTCACGGAGTTAAAGGTCCCCGTTTAGTCCGCAGGCCAAATATTCTACTTATAGGTACCACGTGAGTTGGCAAACTACAGCAGTTCCATTTTCTTCAAATGGCCAACGAGAGTTAATTATGTGATAACCATCAATGAGTAAGTTATCAAGCAATTCACTCATAATATCCGTATTAAACTAAACTAAAACTGAATTATTTAATTTTACAAGGTAAGGCCCACTGAGCTATACAGTTCTTCAGAAGCGGCCTATCCCCAAATGACAGCTCAACAAAGTTGCTTATGTATACATTTATAGTAGCCAAATACTCTAAACGCATGTTTCTAAATGTGGACGGAAAAACCGGAGGACCCGGAGAAAAATCCACGTAAGGCATCAGGGTCGGGATCAAACCTACGACCTCCTGTATAGCAGGTGAGATAGTTAACATCTCGGCACCGACTTAGAGATTTGCTACCTAATGTGGTAGCCTTTTTCTGCTTTGGTGCATGGACTTAATTGTACCGGATAATGTTGCTAATGGGAGCAATGGACTTGCACCATTGTGCGTGGTTTAAGGCTTTTCACTCCTCTAATCGTAACTATAACCTGAACATGTTTCCAATGCTGCCTTCTCTCCGGTCGTCTGGCAAATACGAATTTACACGATTTGGATCTGTTGTCACTGCCAGTGTCGAACAGAGTTTCATCTGCCCTTTCCCAAGATAAGCAATGCCTAAAATGTCAACAGACTCGCGATTGATGGCCCGGGTGAGGGAGGCGGAGTGAGCCACGAGCGGTAGTGAGAGACCTGCAGATGAGATGAGCGTTGTCGTAGCAAGCTGGGGCCCAATGTGTGACCCGGCCCTACTCGGAGACTGCCAGGGGTGCTGACCCTGTGTGTCATCTGTCTCTCTGTGTTTCTGTGTCTATCTATGTGTGTGTGTGTGTCTCTGTGTGTCATCTGTCTCTCTGTGTTTCTGTGTCTATCTATGTGTGTGTGTGTGTCTCTGTGTGTCATCTGTCTCTCTGTGTTTCTATGTCTATCTATGTGTGTGTGTCTCTGTGTGTCATCTGTCTCTCTGTGTTTCTGTGTCTATCTATGTGTGTGTGTGTGTCTCTGTGTGTCATCTGTCTCTCTGTGTTTCTATGTCTATCTATGTGTGTGTGTGTCTCTGTGTGGCATCTGTCTCTCTGTGTTTCTGTGTCTATCTATGTGTGTGTGTGCGTCTCTGTGTGTCATCTGTCTCTCTGTGTTTCTGTGTCTATCTATGTGTGTGTGTGTCTCTATGTGTCATCTGTCTCTCTGTGTTTCTGTGTCTATCTATGTGTGTGTGTCTGTCATCTGTCTCTCTGTGTTTCTATGTCTATCTATGTGTGTGTGTCATCTGTTTCTCTGTGTTTCTGTGTCTATCTATGTGTGTGTGTGTGTCTCTGTGTGTCATCTGTCTCTCTGTGTTTCTGTGTCTATCTATGTGTGTGTGTGTCTCTGTGTGTCATCTGTCTCTCTGTGTTTCTATGTCTATCTATGTGTGTGTGTGTCTCTGTGTGTCTGTCTCTGTGTTTCTGTGTCTATCTATGTGTGTGTGTCTCTGTGTGTCTGTCTCTCTGTGTTTCTGTGTCTATCTATGTGTGTGTGTCTGTCATCTGTCTCTCTGTGTTTCTATGTCTATCTATGTGTGTGTGTCATCTGTCTCTCTGTGTTTCTGTGTCTATCTATGTGTGTGTGTGTCATCTGACTCTCTGTGTTTCTGTGTCTATCTATGTGTGTGTGTCATCTGTCTATCTGTGTTTCTATGTCTATGTGTGTGTGTCTGTGTCTCTGTGTCTGTCTCTCTGTGTTTCTATGTCTATCTATGTGTGTGTGTGTCTCTGTGTCATCTGTCTCTCTGTGTTTCTGTGTCTATCTATGTGTGTGTGTGTCTCTGTGTGTCATCTGTCTCTCTGTGTTTCTATGTCTATCTATCTGTGTGTGTGTCTCTGTGTGCCATCTGTCTCTCTGTGTTTCTGTGTCTATCTATGTGTGTGTGTGTCTCTGTGTGTCATCTGTCTCTCTGTGTTTCTGTGTCTATCTATGTGTGTGTGTGTCTCTGTGTGTCATCTGTCTCTCTGTGTTTCTATGTCTATCTATGTGTGTGTGTGTGTCTCTGTGTGTCATCTGTCTCTCTGTGTTTCTGTGTCTATCTATGTGTGTGTGTCTCTGTGTGTCATCTGTCTCTCTGTGTTTCTGTGTCTATCTATGTGTGTGTGTGTGTCTGTCATCTGTCTCTCTGTGTTTCTATGTCTATCTATGTGTGTGTCTCTGTGTGTCTGTCTCTCTGTGTTTCTGTGTCTATCTATGTGTGTGTCTCTGTGTGTCTGTCACTCTGTGTTTCTATGTCTATCTATGTGTGTGTCATCTGTCTCTCTGTGTTTCTGTGTCTCTCTGTGTTTCTGTGTCTATCTATGTGTGTGTGTCATCTGTCTCTCTGTGTTTCTGTGTCTATGTGTGTGTCATCTGTCTCTCTGTATTTCTGTGTCTATCTATGTGTGTGTGTGTCTGTCTCTCTGTGTTTCTGTGTCTATCTATGTGTGTGTGTCTCTGTGTGTCATCTGTCTCTCTGTGTTTCTGTGTCTATGTGTGTGTGTGTCTGTGTGTGTCATCTGTCTCTCTTTGTTTCAGTGTCTATCTATGTGTGTGTCTCTGTGTGTCATCTGTCTCTCTGTGTTTCTGTGTCTATCTCTGTGTCATCTGTCTCTCTGTGTTTCTGTGTCTATCTATGTGTGTGTGTCTGTCTCTCTGTGTTTCTGTGTCTATTTATGTGTGTGTGTCTCTGTGTGTCATCTGTCTCTCTGTGTTTCTGTGTCTATCTATGTGTGTGTCTCTGTGTGTCATCTGTCTCTCTGTGTTTCAGTGTCTATCTATGTGTGTGTGTGTCTGTGTGTGTCATCTGTCTCTCTGTGTTTCTGTGTCTATCTATGTGTGTGTCTGTGTGTCATCTGTCTCTCTGTGTTTCTGTGTCTATGTGTGTGTGTCTCTGTGTGTCATCTGTCTCTCTGTGTTTCAGTGTCTATCTATGTGTGTGTCTTTGTGTGTCATCTGTCTCTGTGTTTATGTGTCTATCTCTATGTGTCATCTGTCTCTCTGTGTTTCTGTGTCTATCTATGTGTGTGTGTCTGTCTCTCTGTGTTTCTGTGTCTATGTGTGTGTGTGTGTCATCTGTCTCTCTGTGTTTCTGTGTCTATCTATGTGTGTGTGTCTCTGTGTGTCATCTGTCTCTCTGTGTGTCTGTGTCCATCTATGTGTGTGTGTGTCTGTGTCTGTCTCTCTGTGTTTCTGTGTCTATCTATGTGTGTGTCTGTGTGTCATCTGTCTTTCTGTGTTTCTGTATCTATCTATGTGTGTGTGTCTGTGTGTCTGTCTCTCTGTGTGTCTGTGTCCATCTATGTGTGTGTGTGTCTGTGTCTGTCTCTCTGTGTTTCTGTGTCTATCTATGTGTGTGTCTCTGTGTGTCTGTCTCTCTGTGTTTCTGTGTCTATCTATGTGTGTGTGTCTCTGTGTGTCTGTCTCTGTGTTTCTGTGTCTATCTATGTGTGTGTGTCTCTGTGTGTCTGTCTCTCTGTGTTTCTGTGTCTATCTATGTGTGTGTCTCTGTGTGTCATCTGTCTCTCTGTGTTTCTGTGTCTATCTATGTGTGTGTGTCTCTGTGTGTCTGTCTCTCTGTGTTTCTGTGTCTATCTATGTGTGTGTCATCTGTCTCTCTGTGTTTCAGTGTCTATCTATGTGTGTGTGTCATCTGTATCTCTGTTTCTGTGTCTATCTATGTGTGTGTGTCTGTCATCTGTCTCTGTGTTTCTTGTCTATGTGTGTGTGTGTCTGTGTGTCATCTGTCTCTCTGTGTTTCTGTGTCTATGTGTGTGTCTCTGTGTGTCATCTGTCTCTCTGTGTTTCAGTGTCTATCTATGTGTGTGTCTCTGTGTGTCATTTGTCTCTCTGTGTTTATGTGTCTATCTCTGTGGGTCATCTGTCTCTCTGTGTTTCTGTGTCTATCTATGTGTGTGTCATCTGTCTCTCTGTGTTTCTGTGTCTATCTATGTGTGTGTGTCTCTGTGTGTCATCTGTCTCTCTGTGTTTTTGTGTCTATCTATGTGTGTGTGTCTGTCTCTCTGTGTTTCTGTGTCTATGTGTGTGTGTGTCTGTGTGTCATCTGTCTCTCTGTGTTTCTGTGTCTATCTATGTGTGTGTCTCTGTGTGTTATCTGTCTCTCTGTGTGTCTGTGTCCATCTATGTGTGTGTCTGTCTCTCTGTGTTTCTTTGTCTATCTATGTGTGTGTGTCTGTCATCTGTCTCTCTGTGTTTCTGTGTCTATCTATGTGTGTGTCTCTGTGTGTCTGTCTCTCTGTGTTTCTGTGTCTATCTATGTGTGAGTGTGTGTCATATGTCTCTCTGTGTTTCTGTGTCTATCTATGTGTGTGTGTGTCATCTGTCTCTCTGTGTCTATCTATGTGTGTGTGTCTGTCATCTGTCTCTCTGTGTTTCTGTGTCTGTCTCTCTGTGTCTATCTATGTGTCTATGTGTGTCTCTGTGTGTCTGTCTCTCTGTGTTTCTGTCTATCTATGTGTGTGTCTCTGTGTGTCTATCTCTCTGTGTTTCTGTCTATCTATGTGTGTGTGTGTCTCTGTGTCTGTCTCTCTGTGTTTCTGTCTCTTATGTGTGTGTGTGTCTCTGTGTGTCTGTCTCTCTGTGTTTCTGTGTCTATCTATGTGTGTGTCTGTCTGTCATCTGTCTCTCTGTGTATTTATGTCTTTGCATTTGTCTCTGTGTGTCTGTCTCTGTGTGTTTCTGTGTCTATCTATGTGTGTGTGTGTGTTTCTGTGTATCTTTGTCTCTCCGTCTCTTTGGTTTTCCTTGTTTGTCACTATCTCTGTCTGTGTGAGTGTCTGTGTGTCTCCGTGTCTCTCTGTCTCTCACTGTGTCTTTATGTCTGTCTGTGTGAGTGTCTGTGTGTCTCCGTGTATCTCTGTCTCTCACTGTGTCTTTATCTCTGTCTGTGTGAGTGTCTATGTGTG